GACAGCAGGAGACAGGAGGAGACAGGAGGAGACAGCAGGAGACAGGAGGAGACAGCAGGAGACAGGAGGAGACAGGAGGAGACAGGAGGAGACAGGAGGAGACAGGAGGAGACAGGAGGAGAACAGCAGGAGACAGGAGGAGACAGGAGGAGACAGGAGGAGACAGGAGGAGACAGGGAGACAGGAGGAGAGACAGGAGGAGACAGGAGGAGACAGGAGGAGACAGCAGGAGACAGGAGGACAGAGACAGGAGGAGACAGCAGGAGACAGCAGGAGACAGGAGGAGACAGGACAGGAGGAGACAGGAGGAGACAGAGGAGACAGGAGGAGACAGGGAGACAGGAGGAGACAGGAGGAGACAGAGGAGACAGGAGGAGACAGGAGGAGACAGGAGGAGACAGGAGGAGACAGCAGGAGACAGAGGAGACAGGAGGAGACAGCAGGAGACAGAGGAGACAGAGGAGACAGCAGGAGACAGCAGGAGACAGGAGGAGACAGGAGGAGACAGGAGGAGACAGCAGGAGACAGGAGGAGACAGCAGGAGACAGGAGGAGACAGCAGGAGACAGCAGGAGACAGGAGGAGACAGGAGGAGACAGCAGGAGACAGGAGGAGACAGCAGGAGACAGGAGGAGACAGCAGGAGACAGGAGGAGACAGGAGGAGACAGCAGGACACAGAGACAGCAGGAGACAGGAGGAGACAGGAGGAGACAGCAGGAGACAGCAGGAGACAGCAGGAGACAGCAGGAGACAGCAGGAGACAGGAGGAGACAGCAGGAGACAGGAGGAGACAGGAGACGACAGGAGACAGAGGACAGCAGGAGACAGGAGGAGACAGCAGGAGACAGCAGGAGACAGGAGGAGACAGGAGGAGACAGCAGGAGACAGAGGAGACAGCAGGAGACAGGAGGAGGAGGAGACAGGAGGAGACAGCAGGAGACAGGAGGAGACAGCAGGAGACAGCAGGAGACCGCAGGAGACAGCAGGAGACAGGAGGAGACAGCAGGAGACAGGAGGAGACAGCAGGAGACAGGAGGAGACAGCAGGAGACAGCAGGAGACAGGAGGAGACAGGAGGAGACAGGAGGAGACAGGAGGAGAGACAGGAGGAGACAGCAGGAGACAGGAGGAGACAGGAGGAGACAGGAGGAGACAGGAGGAGACAGGAGGAGACAGGAGGAGACAGGAGGAGACAGCAGGAGACAGCAGGAGACAGCAGGAGACAGGAGGAGACAGGAGGAGACAGCAGGAGACAGCAGGAGACAGCAGGAGACAGCAGGAGACAGGAGGAGACAGGAGGAGACAGAGGAGACAGCAGGAGACAGGAGGACAGACAGCAGGAGACAGCAGGAGACAGCAGGAGACAGCAGGAGACAGCAGGAGACAGGAGGAGACAGGAGGAGACAGCAGGAGACAGGAGGAGACAGGAGGACAGACAGACAGGAGGAGACAGGAGGAGACAGCAGAGACAGCAGGAGACAGGAGGAGACAGGGAGACAGGAGAGACAGCAGGAGACAGGAGGAGACAGCAGGAGACAGCAGGAGACAGCAGAGACAGGAGGACAGGAGGAGACAGCAGGAGACAGCAGGAGGACAGCAGGAGACAGGAGGAGACAGCAGGAGACAGCAGGAGACAGCAGGAGACAGCAGGAGACAGGAGGAGACAGGAGGAGACAGGGAGACAGAGGAGACAGGAGGAGACAGGAGGAGACAGGACAGGAGAGACAGCAGGAGACAGCAGGAGACAGGAGGAGACAGCAGGAGACAGGAGGAGACAGGACAGGAGACAGGAGGAGACAGGAGGAGACAGGAGGAGACAGGAGACAGCAGGAGACAGCAGGAGACAGCAGAGAGACAGAGAGACAGCAGGAGACAGGAGGAGACAGGAGGAGACAGCAGGAGACAGGACGCAGGAGACAGCAGGAGACAGGGAGACAGCAGGAGACAGCAGGAGACAGCAGGAGACAGGAGGAGACAGGAGGAGACAGCAGGAGACAGCAGGAGACAGGAGGAGACAGGAGGAGACAGCAGGAGACAGCAGGAGACAGCAGGAGACAGCAGGAGACAGGAGGAGACAGCAGGAGACAGCAGGAGACAGGAGGAGACAGCAGGAGACAGCAGAGACAGCAGGAGACAGCAGGAGACAGGAGGAGACAGCAGGAGACAGCAGGAGACAGGAGGAGACAGCAGGAGACAGGAGGAGACAGCAGGAGACAGCAGGAGACAGGAGGAGACAGCAGAGACAGCAGGAGACAGCAGGAGACAGCAGGAGACAGCAGGAGACAGCAGGAGACAGGAGGAGACAGCAGGAGACAGAGGAGACAGCAGGACAGAGGAGACAGGAGGAGACAGCAGAGACAGGAGAGACAGGAGGAGACAGGAGGAGACAGGAGGAGACGAGGAGAGGAGAGACAGGAGAGAACAGGAGGAGACAGCAGGAGACAGCAGGAGACAGCAGGAGACAGGAGGAGACAGGAGGAGACAGCAGGAGACAGGAGAACAGCGAGGAGACAGGAGGAGACAGCAGGAGACAGGAGGAGACAGCAGGAGACAGGAGGAGACAGCAGGAGACAGCAGGAGACCGCAGGAGACAGCAGGAGACAGGAGGAGACAGGAGGAGACAGGAGGAGACAGCAGAACAGCAGGAGACAGGAGGAGACAGGAGGAGACAGGAGGAGACAGCAGGAGACAGCAGGAGACAGCAGGAGACAGGAGGAGACAGGAGGAGACAGGAGGAGACAGCAGGAGACAGGAGGAGACAGGAGACAGCAGAGACAGGAGGAGACAGGAGGAGACAGCAGGAGACAGCAGGAGACAGGAGGAGACAGGAGGAGACAGCAGGAGACAGGAGGAGACAGCAGGAGACAGCAGACGAGAGACAGGAGGAGACAGGAGGAGACAGCAGGAGACAGCAGGAGACAGCAGGAGACAGGAGGAGACAGCAGGAGACAGCAGGAGACAGCAGGAGACAGCAGGAGACAGCAGGAGACAGGAGGAGACAGGAGGAGACAGGAGGAGACAGCAGGAGACAGGAGGAGACAGGAGGAGACAGCAGGAGACAGCAGAGACAGCAGGAGAGACAGGAGGAGACAGCAGGAGACAGCAGGAGACAGAGGAGACAGAGGAGACAGCAGGAGACAGGAGGAGAGACAGCAGAGGACAGCAGGAGACAGGAGGAGACAGGAGGAGACAGAGGAGCAGGAGGAGACAGCAGGAGACAGCAGGAGACAGGAGGAGACAGCAGGAGACAGGAGGAGACAGGAGGACAGCAGGAGAGACAGGAGGAGACAGCGAGGAGACAGAGAGACAGCAGGAGACAGGAGGAGACAGGAGGAGACAGCAGGAGACAGGAGGAGACAGCAGGAGAACAGACAGGAGCAGCAGGAGACAGGAGACAGCAAGACAGGAGACAGACAGGACAGAGAGACAGCAGGAGACAGCAGAGACAGGAGGAGACAGGAGGAGACAGCAGGAGACAGCAGGAGAGACAGCAGGAGAAGGACAGAGAGACAGGAGGAGACAGCAGGAGACAGCAGGAGACAGGAGGAGACAGCAGGAGACAGCAGGAGACAGGAGGAGACAGCAGGAGATAGCAGGAGACAGGAGGAGACAGCAGGAGACAGGAGGAGACAGAGGAGACAGCAGGAGACAGCAGGAGACAGAGGAGACAGAGGAGCAGGGAGAGGAGGAGACAGCAGGAGACAGCAGGAGACAGGAGGAGACAGGGAGACAGCAGGAGACAGCAGGAGACAGCAGGAGACAGCAGGAGACAGCAGGAGGAGACAGAGGAGACAGGGAGACAGCAGAGGAGACAGGAGGAGACAGGAGGAGACAGGAGGAGACAGCGAGGAGACAGCAGGAGACAGGAGGAGACAGGAGGAGACAGCAGGAGACAGGAGGAGACAGGAGACAGGAGGAGACAGCAGGAGACAGCAGGAGACAGGAGTAGACAGCAGGAGACAGGAGGAGACAGGAGGAGACAGCAGGAGACAGCAGGAGACAGGAGGAGACAGCAGGAGACAGCAGGAGACAGCAGAAGACAGGAGGAGACAGCAGGAGACAGCAGGAGACAGCAGAAGACAAGAGGAGACAGGAGGAGACAGCAGGAGACAGGATCAGGAGACAGGAGGAGACAGGAGGAGACAGCAGGAGACAGGATCAGGAGACAGGAGGAAACAGGAGGAGACAGGAGGAGACAGCAAGAGACAGGAGGAGACAGCAGGAGACAGGAGGAGACAGCAGGAGACAGCAGGTGACAGGAGGAGACAGCAGGAGACAGCAGAAACAGCAGGAGACAGCAGGAGACAGGAGGAGACAGCAGGAGACAGCAGGAGACAGGAGGAGACAGGAGGAGACAGCAGGAGACAGCAGAAACAGCAGGAGACAGCAGGAGACAGGAGGAGACAGCAGGAGACAGCAGGAGACAGCAGAAACAGCAGGAGACAGCAGGAGACAGGAGGAGACAGCAGGAGACAGCAGGAGACAGGAGGAGACAGGAGGAGACAGCAGGAGACAGCAGGACACAGGAGGAGACAGCAGAAGACAGCAGGAGACAGCAGGAGACCGGAGGAGACAGCAGGAGACAGGAAGAGACAGCAGAAGACAGGAGGAGACAGCAGGAGACAGCAGGAGACAGCAGGAGACAGGAGGAGACAGGAGGAGACAGCAGGAGACAGCAGGAGACAGGAGGAGACAGCAGGAGACAGCAGGAGACCGGAGGAGACAGCAGGAGACAGCAGGAGACAGGAGGAGACAGCAGGAGACAGCAGGAGACAGGAGGAGACAGCAGGAGACAGCAGGAGACAGGAGGAGACAGCAGGAGATAGCAGGAGACAGGAGGAGACAGCAGGCGACAGGAGGAGACAGCAGGAGACAACAGGAGACAGGAGGAGACAGCAGAAACAGCAGGAGACAGGAGGAGACAGCAGTAGTTAGACAGCAGCAGCAGACAGCAGGAGACAACAGGAGACAGCAGGAGTTAGACAGCAGCAGCACTCTCACCAGGTCCCTCTCCACGCGGTGCTTGTCCTGCGCCTCCTGCAGCAGGAGGTTGGCCTGGCTCAACTTGGTCTCCAGCAGCTGTTCTTTCAGGTCTCGGTGTCTGAAAACCTTCTCCAGATTCTGAAACACATTTTTTCACATATTTTCACATGAAACACTTTCATTTTACGACTCTTTAGTTCTGGACATAAACCGCTCTGCAGCCATAAAACACACATCAAGTGGTCGTAAATGTGGACAAATACTTTTGCAGCAGGTTTGAGCTTCTGCCACACACACGTCACCCCGCCCCTTCTGCACAAATGCTCTTATTGGAGCACATAACTCCAGAGTTAAAATCACTCCACTGGCTTCTGTTGCGGAGAGAAGTACATTTAAAATACTTCTTTAACATCCTCCAAGACACGTTAGTGTCATACCAACCAAGCTCTCACTGCAGTAAACCCGGTTCACACCAGGTCTAAAACAGGTCTAAAGCAGGTCTAAAGCAGGTCTAAAACAGGTCTAAAACAGGTCTAAAGCAGGTCTAAAGCAGGTCTAAAACAGGTCTAAAACAGGTCTAAAGCAGGTCTAAAGCAGGTCTAAAGCAGGTCTAAACAGGTCTAAAGCAGGTCTAAAGCAGGTCTAAACCAGGTCTAAACCAGGTCTAAACCAGGTCTAAACCAGGTCTAAACCAGGTCTAAACCAGGCCTAAACCAGGCCTAAACCTGGTCTGTCCCGGGTCTCTGGGGGGGGACTCACGCTCTCTCTGGAGTCGTACTGTGCGATGAGGCCCTTCAGCTTCTCCGAGAGGGAGGCGTTCTCCTGCAGGAGGCGGCTGTTCCTGCTGCTGTGCTCCTCGATCTGAGCCTGGATCTCTGACAGCGTCGTCTGGAAGTGACTCGTGATCTCCTTCCTCTTCAGCTCGTCCTCACGACACCGCTGCAGGGTCTCCTCCTGCAGAGAGAGACCTGAGACCTGGTCTACAGCCTCAGTCCTGGGTCTACAGCCTCAGTCCTGGGTCTACAGCCTCAGTCCTGGGTCTAGAGCCTCAGTCCTGGGTCTACAGCCTCAGTCCTGGGTCTAGAGCCTCAGTCCTGGTCTACAGCCTCAGTCCTGGTCTACAGCCTCAGTCCTGGCCACAGTCCGGTACCTTCAGGGTCTTGTTGTGGCGCTGCAGCTCCCGGCACAGTCCCTCCAGTTTGCTCCTCCCCAACACGTCTCTGCTGTGCTCCGTCTGCAGCGCCTCCTTCTCCTTCAGCAGGAGGAGCAGCTTCTTCTGCAGCAGCTTGTGCTGCTTCTGCTCCGCACGATGCTCCTCGAGCTATGAGGAGGAGAACCAGGTGAGAAGGAGAACCAGGTGAGGAGTAAGACCAGGTGAGAAGGAGAACCAGGTGAGGAGTAAGACCAGGTGAGAAGGAGAACCAGGTGAGGAGGAAGACCAGGTGAGGAGGAGAACCAGGTGAGGACCAGGTGAGGAGGAGGACCAGGTGAGAAGGGGAACCAGGTGAGGAGGAGGACCAGGTGAGAAGGAGAACCAGGTGAGGAGTAAGACCAGGTGAGAAGGAGAACCAGGTGAGGAGGAAGACCAGGTGAGGAGGAGAACCAGGTGAGGACCAGGTGAGGAGGAGGACCAGGTGAGAAGGGGAACCAGGTGAGGAGGAGAACCAGGTGAGGAGGAGGACCAGGTGAGGAGTAGGACCAGGTGAGGAGGAGAACCAGGTGAGGAGGAGAACCAGGTGAGGAGGAGAACCAGGTGAGAAGGAGAACCAGGTGAGGAGTAAGACCAGGTGAGAAGGAGAACCAGGTGAGGAGGAAGACCAGGTGAGGAGGAGAACCAGGTGAGGACCAGGTGAGGAGGAGGACCAGGTGAGAAGGGGAACCAGGTGAGGAGGAGGACCAGGTGAGGAGTAGGACCAGGTGAGGAGGAGAACCAGGTGAGAAGGAGAACCAGGTGAGGAGTAAGACCAGGTGAGAAGGAGAACCAGGTGAGGAGGAAGACCAGGTGAGGACCAGGTGAGGAGGAGGACCAGGTGAGAAGGGGAACCAGGTGAGTAGGAGGACCAAGTGAGGAGGAGAACCAGGTGAGGAGGAGGACCAGGTGAGGAGGAGAACCAGGTGAGTAGGAGGACCAAGTGAGGAGGAGAACCAGGTTAGGAGGAGGACCAGGTGAGGAGGAGGACCCCGTGAGGAGGAGAACCAGGTGAGTAGGAGGACCAAGTGAGGAGGACTATGAAGGAACAGGTGAGGAGGACTATGAGGAACCAGGTGAGGTGGACTATGAAGGACCAGGTGAGGAGGACTATGAGGGACAGAAGGACCAGGTGAAAAGGACTATGAGGAACAGAACCAGGTGAGGAGGACTATGAGGAAGAAGGACCAGGTGAGGAGGACTATGAGGGAGAAGGACCAGGTGAGGAGGACTATGAAAGAGAAGGACCAGGTGAGAAGGACTGTGAGGGACCAGAAAGGGAGACCAGAGAGAGAGAGAGACCAGAGAGAGAAACCTCTCTCTGGTTTCTCTCTCTGGTCTCTCTCTCTGGTAGTGACGGACCATATGTCTCACCAGCTCAGCGTGCTTCTTGATCACAGCCTCCAGTTTCTTCTCTGGTGTCTCCAGTTTGTTCAGACTCTGCATCAGCTGCATGGCCTCTTTCCCTACAACCATAAAACACACGATTGAAACCATAAAACACACGTATTTATTCTGTCAGGGCAAAGAATGAGACGAGCCCCGGTCCAGGTCCCAGTCGGGGGCCGAATGAAGAGATACCATGTGTCAAAGCCAGAGGTCTACAGCCGAAAGAAAAGTAGATCATAAGTATAGTTTCTGGTCTCTCTCTGGTCTCTGTCTGGTCTCTCTGTCTAGGCCTAAACTACAGACCCTCTGACACTGACCCAGGTTTTTCAACATTTTCTTCTCCGGTTTCTGGCCCTTCCTGATTGGCTGCAGCTCGTCGGCCTCTTCCTGGGGGGCGGGGCTAGCGGGTGATGTCACACTCTCTTCCTGGGGGGTGAGGGGGGGGCACCCTGGGGTGGGGGGCTCGCTGTAGGTGCTGATGATGTCATCGAGCCGGTGTCCCAGGTCTTCAGTGAGGTCCAGGGGGGCGGGGCTTGTATCTGCAGTCGTCTCCATGGCAACACCTGTTTCAGAGACCCCACATTACACCAGTGTGTGTATGTATGTGTGTGTATGTATGTGTGTATGTATGTGTGTACGTGTGTGTGTGTGTATGTGTGTGGGTTTAGTGTGTGGGTGTGGGTTTAGTGTGTGTGTGTGGGTTTAGTGTGTGTGTGTGGGTTTAGTGTGTGGGTGTGGGTTTAGTGTGTGTGTGTGTGTGGGTTTGTGAGTGTGCCTGTGTCTGTGTGTTGGTTTGTGTTTAGTTGTGTGTATCGTGGATATGTGTTACCATGTGCGTGTGTTTAGTTCTGTGTGGGTTTAGTTGTGTGTAGAGGACAGTCAAACTTCAATATTGGAGTTAGTGGGTTAGCATGGAGTTAGCAGATTAGCATGGAGTTAGCAGGTTAGCATGGAGTTAGCAGGTTAGCATTGTCCATCTGTTTACAGTCTGGTTTACTCTTCTCAAGATGGAGACATGACAGTATTTGTTCATAATAAACAAATATTAAAGTCACTACTAAATCTGGGGTCTGTGACTTTAAAGCTGGGGTCTGTGACTTTAAAGCTGAGGTCCCATGTATCTAGTTTCATGTATTTGTGATGTCACATGTTTAAATCAGAGACGACCCCCCTCTCTCGGCCAAGCAGCTCTCAGCCCAAAGAGGCAGATACTGACTCACAGGGACCTGTCTGACACTCTCTGTGACTAAATACTTATCAGTTTTTTCAGTTATTTAGTTCTGCATCAGCCAATCACAGGCTGATTACTGTGAGAGACCAGAGAGAGACCAGAGAGAGACCAGAGAGAGACCAGAGAGAGACCAGAGAGACCAGAGAGAGAGAGAGACCAGAGAGAGAGACCAGAGAGAGAGACCAGAGAGAGACCAGAGAGAGAGACCAGAGAGAGACCAGAGAGAGACCAGAGAGAGACCAGAGAGACCAGAGAGACCAGAGAGACCAGAGAGAGAGACCAGAGAGAGAGACCAGAGAGAGAGACCAGAGAGAGACCAGAGAGAGACCAGAGAGACCAGAGAGAGAGACCAGAGAGAGAGACCAGAGAGAGACCAGAGAGACCAGAGAGGAGACCAGAGAGAGAGACCAGAGAGAGACCAGAGAGACCAGAGAGAGACCAGAGAGAGAGACCAGAGAGAGACCAGAGAGAGACCAGAGAGAGAGACCAAAGAGAGACCAGAGAGAGAGACCAGAGAGAGAGACCAGAGAGAGACCAGAGAGACCAGAGAGAGACCAGAGAGAGACCAGAGAGAGAGACCAGAGAGAGACCAGAGAGACCAGAGAGAGAGACCAGAGAGAGACCAGAGAGACCAGAGAGAGACCAGAGAGAGAGACCAGAGAGAGACCAGAGAGAGACCAGAGAGAGAGACCAGAGAGAGACCAGAGAGAGAGACCAGAGAGAGAGACCAGAGAGAGACCAGAGAGACCAGAGAGAGAGACCAGAGAGAGACCAGAGAGACCAGAGAGAGACCAGAGAGAGAGAACCAGAGAGAGACCAGAGAGAGACCAGAGAGAGAGACCAAAGAGAGACCAGAGAGAGAGACCAGAGAGAGAGACCAGAGAGAGAGACTAGAGAGAGACCAGAGAGACCAGAGAGAGACCAGAGAGAGACCAGAGAGAGAGACCAGAGAGAGACCAGAGAGACCAGAGAGAGAGACCAGAGAGAGACCAGAGAGACCAGAGAGAGACCAGAGAGAGAGACCAGAGAGAGACCAGAGAGAGAGACCAGAGAGAGACCAGAGAGAGAGAGAGATCAGAGAGAGACCAGATTGAGACCAGATTGAGACCAGAGAGAGACCAGAGAGAGACCAGAGAGAAGGTCATAGTTCTGGTCTCTCTCTGGTCTTGTTCAGACACAGAGAGAGACAGACACACACACACACAGAGACACACACACACACACAGACACACACACACACACACACAGACACAGACACAGACACACACACAGAGACAGACACACACACACACACACAGACACACACACACACACACACACACAGAGACAGACACATAGAGACACACACAGACACACACAGAGACAGACACACAGAGACAGACACACAGAGACACACACAGACACACACAGAAACAGATCAAACAAAGTAAAGTAAAGATACAGACTCACAGACGTCCTGAGTACGGCTCTGACTGAGCACGAGGCACCGAGGGACAGCTGCAGACCAAAATAACCCTCAGCAGCTCAGGGGGGAGGAGGCCCGAGACCAGGGTCTGAACTGAGGCAGGTCTGGGCCAGGGTCTGACTCTGGACTGAGGCAGGTCTGGGCCAGAGTCTGGACTCAGTGGACTGAGGCAGGTCTTGATCAGGGTCTACTCAGAGTCAAGTCTGGCTCGAGGTCCGGGTCTGGACTGAGTCAGGTCTGGGTCCGGGTCTGCTTTGGGTTAGGTTTGGGTCGGGGTCTGGTCTGAGTCAGGTCTGGGTCAGGATCTGGGTCTGCTCTGAGTCAGGTCTGAGTCTCTCTCTGGTCTCTCTCTCTGGTCTCTCGCTGGTCTCTCTCTGGTCTCTCTCTCTGGTCTCTCTCTGGTCTCTCTCTCTGGTCTCTCTCTCTGGTCTCTCTCTGGACTCTCTCTCTCTTGTCTCTCTCTCTGGTATTTCTCTCTGGTCTCTCTCTCTGGTCTCTCTCTGGTCTCTCTCTCTGGTCTTTCTCTCTGGTCTCTCTTTGGTCTCTCTCTGGTCTCTCTCAGGTCTCTCTCTCTCTGGTCTCTCTCTCTCTGGTCTCTCTCAGGTCTCTCTCACGTCTCTCTCTCTGGTCTCTCTCTGGTCTCTCTCTCTGGTCTCTCTCTGGTCTCTCTCTCTCTCTGTCTCTCTCAGGTCTCTCTCTCTCTTGGTCTCTCTCTCTCTCTGTTCTCTCTCTCTCTCTGGTCTCTCTCTCTGGTCTCTCTCTCTGGTCTCTCTCTCTGGTCTCTCTCTCTGGTCTCTCTCTCTGGTCTCTCTCTCTGGTCTCTCTCTGGTCTCTCTCTCTCTCTGGTCTCTCTCTCTGGTCTCTCTCTGGTCTCTCTCTCTGGTCTCTCTCTCTGGTCTTTCTCTCTGGTCTCTCTTTGGTCTCTCTCTGGTCTCTCTCTGGTCTCTCTCTCTCTAGTCTCTCTCCCTGGTCTCTCTCTGGTCTCTCTCTGGTCTCTCTCTCTGAACTCTCTCTGGTCTCTCTCTGGTCTCTCTCTCTGGTCTTTCTCTCTGGTCTCTCTCTGGTCTCTCTCTGGTCTCTCTCTGGTCTCTCTCTGGTCTCTCTCTGGTCTCTCTCAGGTCTCTCTCAGGTCTCTCTCTCTCTGGTCTCTCTCAGGTCTCTCTCACGTCTCTCTCTCTCTCTGTTCTCTCTTGGGTCTCTCTCTGGTCTCTCTCTCTGGTCTGGTCTCTGGTCTCTCTGGTCTCTCTCTGGTCTCTTTCTGGTCTCTCTCTGGTCTCTCTCTGGTCTCTCTCTGGTCTCTCTCTCTGGTCTCTCTCTGGTCTCTCTCTGTTCTCTCTCTGTTCTCTCTCTGGTCTCTCTCTGGTCTGGTCTCTGTCTCTGGTCTCTCTCTCTCTGGTCTCTCTCTGGTCTCTCTCTGGTCTCTCTCTCTGGTCTCTCTCTGGTCTCTCTCTGGTCTCTCTCTGGTCTCTCTCTGGTCTCTCTTGTCTCTCTGTTCTCTCTCTGGTCTCTCTCTGGTCTCTCTCTGGTCTCTTTCCTGTCTCTCTCTGGTCTCTCTCTGGTCTCTCTCTGGTCTCTCTCTCTGTTCTCTCTCTGGTCTCTCTCTCTCTGTCTCTCTCTCTGGTCTCTCTCTCTGGTCTCTCTCTCTGGTCTCTCTCTGGTCTCTCTCTCTTGTCTCTCTCTCTTGGTCTCTCTCTGGTCTCTCTCCTGGTCTCTCTCTGGTCTCTCTCTCTGGTCTCTCTCTGGTCTCTCTATCTGGTCTCTCTCTCTGGTCTCTTCTCTGGTCTCTCTCTCTGGTCTCTCTCTCTGTCTATCTCTGGTCTCTCTCTCTGGTCTCTCTCTGGTCTCTCCCTGATCTCTCTCTGGTCTCTCTCTTGGTCTCTCTCTCTGGTCTCTCTCTCTGGTCTCTCTCTCTGGTCTCTCTCTCTGGTCTCTCTCTCTGGTCTCTCTCTCTGGTCTCTCTCTGGTCTCTCTCTCTGGTCTCTCTCTCTGGTCTCTCTCTCTGGTCTCTCTCTCTGTCTCTCTCTGGTCTCTCTCTGGGTCTCTCTCTCTGGTCTCTCTCTCTGGTCTCTCTCTGGTCTCTCTCTGGTCTCTCTCTCTCTGGTCTCTCTCTCTGGTCTCTCTCTCTGGTCTCTCTCTCTGGTCTCTCTCTCTGGTCTCTCTCTGGTCTCTCTCTCTGGTCTCTCTCTGGTCTCTCTCTGGTCTCTCTCTCACAGGTGTTGACGGTGAATATCCAATAAATGAAGAAATGTGTCGTAAAAATAGATTAAAGTCTCTGCAAAAGTTAAAGATTTAATTAAAGCTTCAGAGTCTGATTTAATGTTTTAATAACACCTGTGTCTGTGTGTGTGTGTGTGTGTGTGTGTGTGTGTGTGTGTGTCTCTGTGTGTGTGTGTCTGTGTGTGTGTGTGTGTGTGTGTGTGTGTGTGTGTGTGTGTGTGTGTGTGTGTGTGTGTGTGTGTGTGTGTCTCTGCAGGTGGGAACCAGCTGAAGGACCAGGTGTTCCGGTTCCTCTGGTCCTGGATCTCTCTGGAGAAGGAGGTGCTGGTCGTGGACGAGGAGGACAAGGTCCTGGAGGTGGTTCTGAGACGCAGAGGGTATCTGGGAGAAACCTCCTTCATCAGTGAGTCCAGACTGAGGCTGTAGACCCACCCAAGACTGAGGCTGTAGACCCAGGACTGAGGCTGTAGACCCAGGACTGAGGCTGTAGACCCAGGACTGAGGCTGTAGACCCAGGACTGAGACTGTAGACCCAGGACTGAGGCTGTAGACCCAGGACTGAGGCTGTAGACCCAGGACTGAGGCTGTAGACCCAGGACTGAGGCTGTATAGACCCAGGACTGAGGCTGTAGACCCAGGACTGAGGCTGTAGACCCAGGACTGAGGCTGTATAGACCCAGGACTGAGGCTGTAGACCCAGGACTGAGGCTGTAGACCCAGGACTGAGGCTGTAGACCCAGGACTGAGGCTGTATAGACCCAGGACTGAGGCTGTAGACCCAGGACTGAGGCTGTAGACCCAGGACTGAGGCTGTAGACCCAGGACTGAGGCTGTAGACCCAGGACTGAGGCTGTAGACCCAGGACTGAGGCTGTCCCAGGACTGAGGCTGTATAGACCCAGGACTGAGGCTGTAGACCCAGGACTGAGGCTGTAGACCCAGGACTGAGGCTGTAGACCCAGGAATGAGGCTGTAGACCCAGGACTGAGACTGTAGACCCAGGACTGAGGCTGTAGACCCAGGACTGAGGCTGTAGACCCAGGACTGAGGCTGTAGACCCAGGACTGAGACCGTAGACCCAGGACTGAGACTGTAGACCCAGGACTGAGGCTGTAGACCCAGGACTGAGGCTGTAGACCCAGGACTGAGGCTGTAGACCCAGGACTGAGGCTGTAGACCCAGGACTGAGGCCGTAGACCCAGGACTGAGACTGTAGACCCAGGACTGAGGCCGTAGACCCAGGACTGAGGCTGTAGACCCAGGACTGAGGCTGTAGACCCAGGACTGAGGCTGTAGACCCAGGACTGAGGCTGTAGATCCAGGACTGAGGCTGTAGACCCAGGACTGAGGCTGTAGACCCAGGACTGAGGCTGTAGACCCAGGACTGAGGCTGTAGACCCAGGACTGAGGCTGTAGACCCAGGACTGAGGCTGTAGACCCAGGACTGAGGCTGTAGACCCAGGACTGAGGCTGTAGACCCAGGACTGAGGCTGTAGACCCAGGACTGAGGCTGTAGACCCAGGACTGAGGCCGTAGACCAAGGACTGAGGCTGTAGACCCAGGACTGAGGCTGTAGATCCAGGACTGAGGCTGTATAGACCCAGGACTGAGGCTGTAGACCCAGGACTGAGGCTGTAGATCCAGGACTGAGGCTGTAGACCCAGGACTGAGGCTGTAGACCCAGGACTGAGGCTGTAGACCCAGGACTGAGGCTGTAGATCCAGGACTGAGGCTGTATAGACCCAGGACTGAGGCTGTAGACCCAGGACTGAGGCTGTAGACCCAGGACTGAGGCTGTAGACCCAGGACTGAGGCTGTAGACCCAGGACTGAGGCTGTATAGACCCAGGACTGAGGCTGTAGACCCAGGACTGAGGCTGTAGACCCAGGACTGAGGCTGTAGACCCAGGACTGTAGACCCAGGACTGAGGCTGTAGACCCAGGACTGAGGCTGTAGACCCAGGACTGAGGCCGTAGACCCAGGACTGTAGACCCAGGACTGAGGCTGTAGACCCAGGACAGAGGCCGTAGACCCAGGACTGAGGCTGTAGACCCAGGACTGAGGCTGTAGACCCAGGACTGAGGCTGTAGACCCAGGACTGAGGCTGTAGACCCAGGACTGAGGCTGTAGACCCAGGACTGAGGCTGTAGACCCAGGACTGAGGCCGTAGACCCAGGACTGAGACTGTAGACCCAGGACTGAGGCCGTAGACCCAGGACTGAGGCTGTAGACCCAGGACTGAGGCTGTAGACCCAGGACTGAGGCTGTAGACCCAGGACTGAGGCTGTAGATCCAGGACTGAGGCTGTAGACCCAGGACTGAGGCTGTAGACCCAGGACTGAGGCTGTAGACCCAGGACTGAGGCTGTAGACCCAGGACTGAGGCTGTAGACCCAGGACTGAGGCTGTAGACCCAGGACTGAGGCTGTAGACCCAGGACTGAGGCTGTAGACCCAGGACTGAGGCTGTAGACCCAGGACTGAGGCTGTAGACCCAGGACTGAGGCCGTAGACCAAGGACTGAGGCTGTAGACCCAGGACTGAGGCTGTAGATCCAGGACTGAGGCTGTATAGACCCAGGACTGAGGCTGTAGACCCAGGACTGAGGCTGTAGATCCAGGACTGAGGCTGTAGACCCAGGACTGAGGCTGTAGACCCAGGACTGAGGCTGTAGACCCAGGACTGAGGCTGTAGACCCAGGACTGAGGCTGTATAGACCCAGGACTGAGGCTGTAGACCCAGGACTGAGGCTGTAGACCCAGGACTGAGGCTGTAGACCCAGGACTGAGGCTGTAGACCCAGGACTGAGGCTGTATAGACCCAGGACTGAGGCTGTAGACCCAGGACTGAGGCTGTAGACCCAGGACTGAGGCTGTAGACCCAGGACTGTAGACCCAGGACTGAGGCTGTAGACCCAGGACTGAGGCTGTAGACCCAGGACTGAGGCCGTAGACCCAGGACTGTAGACCCAGGACTGAGGCTGTAGACCCAGGACAGAGGCCGTAGACCCAGGACTGTAGACCTAGGACTGAGGCTGTAGACCCAGGACTGAGGCTGTAGACCCAGGACTGAGACCGTAGACCCAGGACTGAGGCTGTAGACCCAGGACTGAGGCTGTAGACCCAGGACTGAGGCTGTAGACCCAGGACTGAGGCCGTAGACCCAGGACTGAGACTGTAGACCCAGGACTGAGGCCGTAGACCCAGGACTGAGGCTGTAGACCCAGGACTGAGACTGTAGACCCAGGACTGAGGCCGTAGACCCAGGACTTAGGCCGTAGACCCAGGACTGTAGACCCAGGACTGAGGCTGTAGACCCAGGACTGAGGCTGTAGACCCAGGACTGTAGACCTAGGACTGAGGCTGTAGACCCAGGACTGAGGCTGTAGACCCAGGACTGAGACCGTAGACCCAGGACTGAGGCTGTAGACCACAGGACTGAGACCGTAGACCCAGGACTGAGGCTGTAGACCACAGGACTGAGGCCGTAGACCCTATCGCCGCGGGTTACAGTCGCACAAGCCCAATATTAGTTCTTACAAACACTGTCGACTCTGTTTTCGTTTGAGACTGGTTTTAATTTGGTCCCAGCTGCTTTCCCCCCTGGTACAAAAGCACATCCCCCCGCCCCTTCTGCACCAATGCCTTTCTCTCAAACATCTCATGGAATCCTCCGACTGTGAAACGATCATTTTCACATGTTTTGGGATTTTCTCCTCTGTTAAAACCCACACATTCAGCCGTAGTTTAATCTCTTCATCTCTGTCGGCCCACGGTGGCTGAGTGGTTAGCCCTCTCGCCTCTCAGTCAGACGGCCCTGGCTTCTCTGAGTGGAATTTGCATGTTCTCCCTGTGCCTGTGTGGTCTCTCTCTCTGGTCTCTCTCTGGTCTCTCTCTGGTCTCTCTCTGGTCTCTCTCTCTGGTCTCTCTCTCTGGTCTCTCTCTGGTCTCTCTCTGGTCTCTCCCTGGTCTCTCTCTGGTCTCTTTACAGCCGCAGCCGCCCCACTGTGGCACCTGCTTTTCTCTCCTGGACCTCTCTCCTGCTCCTCTCTCATGGTCCTGTCTCCTGGTCCTCTCTTTAATGGTCCTCTCTCCTGGTCCTCTCTCCTGGTCCTCTCTCCTAGTCATTTCTTCTGGTCCTCTCTCCTGGTCCTCTCTCCTAGTCATTTCTTCTGGTCCTCTCTCCTGGTCCTCTCTCCTAGTCATCTCTTCTGGTCCTCTCTCCTGGATCTCTCTCCTAGTCCTCTCTTCTGGTCCTCTCTCCTGGTCCTCTCTCCTGGATCTCTCTCCTAGTCCTCTCTTCTGGTCCTCTCTCCTGGTTCTCTCTCCCAGTCCTGTCTCCTGGTCCTCCTTGTCCTCTCTTTAATGGTCTTCTCTCACGGTCCTCTCTCCTGGTCCTCTCTCCTGGTCCTCTCTCCTGGTCCTCTCTCCTAGTTCTCTCTCCTGGTCCTCTCTCCTGGTCCTCTCTCCTAGTCATTTCTTCTGGTCTTCTCTCCTGGTTCTCTCTCCTAGTTCTCTCTCCTGGTCCTCTCTCCTGCTCCTCTCCTGGTCCTCTCTCCTACTCCTCTCTCCTAATCATCTCTTCTGGTCCTCTCTCCTGGTCCTCTCTCCTGGATCCCTCTCCTAATCCTCTCTGCTGGTTCTCTCTCCTAGTCCTCTCTTCTGGTCCTCTCTCCTGGTTCTCTCTCCTAGTCCTCTCTTCTGGTCCTCTCTCCTGGTTCTCTCTCCTAGTCCTCTCTCCTGGTCCTCTCTCCTGGTTCTCTCTCCTAGTCCTCTCTCCTGGTCCTCTCTTCTTGTCATCTCTTCTGGGCCTCTCTCCTGGTTCTCTCTCCTGGTCCTCTCTCTTGGTCCTTTCTCCTGGTCCTCTCTCCTAGTCATCTCTTCTGGTCCTCTCTCCTGGATCTCTCCTAGTCCTCTCTTCTGGTCCTCTTTCCTGGTCCTGGCCTGTATCTCTCTGTGAGCAGTAAATAGTTAATGTGGCAGCGGCTGAACGCAGAGCTCCCTCCTGTCAAACATGGTCTGCATCAAACACAGCAGCAGCTCACAGCGCCTCCTGCAGCAGACGGAGGAGGAGCAGGGGGAGGAGGAGGGGGTGAGGAGAAGGAGGAGGAGGGGGTGAGGAGAAGGAGGAGGAGGGGGTGAGGAGCAGGAAGAGCTGCAGTGCATCTGCTGCAGCGCGTCTGCTGCAGTTCGTCTGCTGCAGTTCGTCCGCTGCAGTTTGTCCGCTGCAGTTTGTCCGCTGCAGTTCGTCTGCTGCAGTTCGTCTGCTGCAGTTCGTCTGCTGCAGTTCGTCTGCTGCAGTTCGTCTGCTGCAGTTCATCTGCTGCAGTTCGTCTGCTGCAGTTCGTCTGCTGCAGTTCGTCTGCTGCAGTTCATCTGCTGCAGTTCATCTGCTGCAGTTCGTCTGCTGCAGTTCGTCTGCTGCAGTTCGTCTGCTGCAGTTCATCTGCTGCAGTTCATCTGCTGCAGTTCGTCTGCTGCAGTTCGTCCGCTACAGTTCGTCTGCTGCAGTTCGTCTGCTGCAGTTTGTCCGCTGCAGTTCGTCTGCTGCAGTTCGTCTGCTGCAGTTTGTCCGCTACAGTTCGTCTGCTGCAGTTCGTCCGCTGCAGTTTGTCCGCTGCAGTTCGTCTGCTGCAGTTCGTCCGCTACAGTTCGTCTGCTGCAGTTCGTCTGCTGCAGTTTGTCCGCTGCAGTTCGTCCGCTGCAGTTCGTCCGCTGCAGTTCGTCTGCTGCAGTTCGTCTGCTGCAGTTCGTCTGCTGCAGTTCATCTGCTGCAGTTCGTCTGCTGCAGTTCGTCCGCTACAGTTCGTCTGCTACAGTTCGTCTGCTGCAGTTCGTCCGCTGCAGTTCGTCGCATGGCGAACGTCGCTGCAGTGAATGATCCAAACACAGACTTACAGCAGACTGTGCTCAGTGCTGCCCTCTACAGTCCGCTCTGATTGGTCAGAACGCTCACATGGTCACCAGGTCTGAGGAGGTACCTCACACTGCACAGACCGGGACCACACACACACATGCGAACACACACTCACTTGCGCTCACACACACACATGCGCACACGCACACACACACACACACATGCGCACACACACACACACACACATACACACACACACACAAACACACACACACACACACACAATCTTAGATAGTTCTGCTTAGATTTTGGAATCATAAATTAACATTTTGAATGAAACTTTTTATTCAAAAACCCAAAACACAGGAGCTTGAAGACGTCGGCTGAAGCAGAGTGTGGAGGATGATCTGAGGCTGTGTTTGTCCATCACCAGGTCACAGGCTCAGGCTCTGTCCTGGAGTTAAAGGTGCCGCCCTCGTTCATTATTCAGACTGAAGCTTTATTATTCAAACTCTCTCAGCAGTTTTTCCTCTGAGACGTCAGGGTTTGGGGTCGAAAGAGAAACAGTGTCAGAACATTCAGGACAAACACATAAAACACATATTTAATTATAAAGTAAAATGTTACGTATTTCATTATCTTCATCATCATCACCATCAATATCATCACCTTCATCACCTTCATCATCATCAGGAAGTTTCCTCGCGAGAAACAGGAAGAGGGTGAAGGGGGTAATCCCATTGGTTTATTTTTATCGGTCTACTTCAAAATATTTTGTATTAACTTTTGGAGACTAAAGGCATCTGGTCAATTCCATTACTATTTGAAAACACATGATAACTTGACACTTTTAGGGACCGAAGGAGTTTGCATCGGTGCCGATCCCAGTCCCTTGTGTTCAGCCAAACGCCTCTGGTGGAGCACGGCGGAACTACACGGGTCTGGGGAGAGTCGGGCTAAGCACATTCTGCCTCAGAACAAGATTCACAAGAATTTATAAAGAAACAAAAATGTCTCGTTTGGAATCAGAAAACACAGCGACAGTTCTTGAAATCAGAATAATGGGTTTGTCCCGTTGGAGAAGCTAGTTTTAAGTCAGAATGTGTCAGATTAAAATAAAAACAATTCAAGCAATTATTACTTCATATTTAATCATTTTTTGCATTCAGACTTGAAGCTAAGTGGGGCAAGGCCTGGTTAGTACTGTGATGGGAGACCTCTGAGAACATCAGGTGCCACAGTGGGGCGGCTGTAAAATGCCAAACTGTGGTTGTGTCCTTAGGCAAGACACTTCCTCCACATTAGAATGAGTCTGGTGTGTGTGTGAGTGGTTGGTGGTGGTGGGAGGGGCCGATGGCACAGACTGGTTGCCTTGCTTCTGTCAGTGTGCCCCAGGGCAGCTGTGGCTACTGTAGTATATCACCACTGTGTATGGCGTGAATGAACAATGACAGTGACGCGTCTTTGGGAGTCCAGAAAAGCGCTGTATTAAAGCAATATTATCATTATGAAAACCAAAGCTGCAGAGTTACTGTAAAAGCCATGTCCCCACAGCGCACATAGACCCAGTGTGTGTGTGTGAGTATCTTTGAATGTATCTGCGTGTGTGTGTGTATCTGTGTGTGTATGTGTGTATGTGTGTGTGTGTGTGTGAGTATCTTTGTAAGTATCTGTGTCTAGGTGTGCACGTGTATTTCTGTATCTGTGTGTATGTTTGTGTATCTTTGTGTGTGTGGATTAATGTGTAGCAGAAGTGTGAGACCAGTATAATCCTCAAGTCTCTACAACACACACACACAAACACGTTTACATAGATACATTACTAGTGGAGGACGAGGCCAGGCTCCGCCCCCTTTGCTCTTCTGCTCTACTTCCCGCGGTGGGACGCCACGACCTCATGCGCCCTCCGACACGCACACACATACACACACACACACACACACAATCACAAGCACACACACACTCAGGGATCTCATGTGACCCACAGCAGCAGATTACAAACGACTGGGGTTGTGTTGGATTTGAGGCTGTTTGGAAAATGAGTGCGGCCAACAGAGGTGTGTGTGTGTGTGTGTGTGTGTGTCTCATGCGTGTGTGTCTTATGTGTGTGTGTGACTCAGTGTGTGTGGGTGTCTGTGTGTGTCTCAACGTACGTGTGACTGTGTGTGTGGGTAAGTGTCTCAATGTGTCTTGTGTGTGTATCTCAGTGTACGCGTGACTCAGTATGTGTGTGTGTGTCAGTGTACGTGTGACTCAGTGTGTGTGTTTCGTGTGTGTGCTCTGTTAAAGCTCATAATTGTGTTGAGAGTAAACATTGTAGTAGTTTCTCGGAGCAGATGTAGTTGTGAGGACCTCTGACACATACACAGAGTTAAATTAACTTGTGTTTGTAGAAAGATCAAAACAGTCGCTTCTATCACTCCTTTTCTTTAGTTTCACATTTTAATAATATTCGACAAGTTTCACCAGTTTGTGACTTTTAAAAGACGCAATAATTCAAATATTCAAACTTTATTTACAAGTTACGAACATCAACTTTGAAGCAGGAAGTGGCAGTAATCATGCTTGTTGCTTCTGGACAGTGGTCGATGTGTTTATGACTGCACTTCCTGTGTGATTCTCTGATCTGCTGCTGGTGAATCAACAACTTTATACAAATGCATTGAGTTCAGATTTAGATTAATTTATTTGCCATTTGCAGTAAAACCACATTGGAAAAACTGTGCAAGACTACCCCAGTGTGCACCAGACAGAGAAGACGACACACACCAGAGCTGTTGCCACGGCGCCATCTTTACGGCGCCATCTTTACTGCGCCATGCGACAAACAGTAGAATAAACAGCAGAGAGCAGTAACATACACATCACAGACAGTTTGGATAAGACACATTATGTTTTGGATAAAACACGGACGTTTTTTTTATGGAAATAAACTCAGACAACCCTTCGCCAATGTGGGCCGTCAGAGGGGGCTAGGTGAGGGGGGGATGAGCAGGAAAGACTTAGGAGTGAGGAGGGAGGGAGTAGGGAGTAGGGAGGGGGAGAGGAGCGGGGGGTGTGAGACATTGTTGTTGATGAAGAGTCCCGTTATCAACTTCGGCCCTGGCCAATGGAATGTGGAAAGATTAGGAGAGGAGCCGCAGACGCAAGAGAAAAACACATTTGCCAAAAAGGGACAATTTATGTGAGCAATGTAGCAGATAAAACACTGGAAAATATGCTATAGATCCAATTGAACCACATTTCTGGTACCCTCAGTACCTCCGTACACAGGGCCTTTCCATATGGGGTCACAGTTCAGCTCTGGCAGACAGTGTCGTTCAACTTCATCTTTTTATGTCCATCCAGAGATCACATTGCAAGATCTTTAAGCAAATGTTCGACCTGTAAAACTCCGTTGTGCTGCCACGGCGCTCTCGACCACCGCCCGGGTAAACTCCCTGTACTTCTCAATTTCGTTGGACAGCTTCTCGTAAATTTTATGAGCTGCAATGCCTCTAAATTTGCGGTAGAAAAGGAACGCTCAGAGCCCAAAAAGGAGGATTCCAACCACCAGAAATCCAACTATGTAGACGTCTTCCGAATCTTCGATAGACAGAGGCGACAGACATAACGGGTTCCACTTGCCCCAGCTGTCGTGAGGGGGACCTGCAGGTGTCGTCCCCTCAGAGCAGGAAGCCTCTCCCGGTCCTCTCTTACGTGTTGAAATAACATTTGTATTTGTAGAAAGATCTGTCACATCTTTAGATCAGCTCTAAGCTCAAAGCTTTAAAGTTTTCCAAAAACTTTGCTTAAGAATCTTTTTAAGTCGGAAGCATTAAATTGTACTAAATGTTTATTAAAATACACTTTTTTAACTGTGACGTCACTTTCTATTTCATAATAACATTTATTTACGGAAGATCGAGCATCAGGAGGTTGTAGGTTGCTGTCCATCAAGGATTTGAATTCAATGCGTCCAATCAGGTTCCTTTGGAGGCGGGTCCAACTGTGTGGCCAGATCCTGTCAGACCTCTGAAGCTAAGCAGGACAGGGCCTGGTTAGTGCTGTGATGGGAGACCTCTGGGAGCAGCAGGTGCCACAGTGGGGCGGCTGCGGCTGTAAAGTGCCAAACTGTGGTTGTGTCCTTAGGCAAGACACTTCCCCCACATTAGAATGAGTCTGGTGTGTGTGTGAATGGTTGGTGGTGATGGGAGGGGCCGATGGCACAGACTGGTTGCCTCGCTTCTGTCTGTGTGCCCCAGGGCAGCTGTGGCTACTGTAGTTATCACTCAGTCACAGGTAAACTCAGTGTATTTCCTCATCAGTGTGTGTTTCCTGTGTAGTGTGTGTGTGTTGTGTTCTCTGTGTGTAGCGTGTGTTACTGTGACCCAGAATGCCACACTCTGCCCAGATCTCATTCCTTCGGTGAGGATTTGAGCACAGATTACAGCCTCTACCCCATTTGTTTTGTAACAATCAGCAGAGTCGCCTAATGCTGCGGCCGCGGCGGCGCTGGCCATGGAAGTGCCAGGGACCTTTAGAGGCTTAGGTCCCCACCCCTCCCCAGGGTAAGCCGTGAGGCCAGAGTACTTCTTTGATTGTTTAAAATCTCATCCAAAAGCCAGCGCTCCCAAACACCACAGCGATTATCCTGTGTGCGCACAGAAAATTAAAGTCTTAAAGTGAAATCCGTAGAGCACAAACCGGACCCTTCTTTAAACGTCACGCTTTGTTCTTTTCATTAACGCTAAAGATATTTTATAATGAGATGAAGATGGTGAGGTCAGAACATGAGCCTCATGTGTCTCAATGTACAGATGTAAACATACAACTATATATAAGTATTTATTTACATGAATATATACTATTTTACACTTGCTATGCTAAAGTTGGAGATTTCATTTCATTTTATTTTAGTATAGATAGTTATGGATAAAAAGACAAAGTCGAGTCAGAATTGGGAGAAAGTTTAACTTTAATAAAAACATGTATTAAATGTGTTCCTTTAAAACCATTATCTCTCTATAACAAGAGCAGTAGCGCGTTGGTCCGTTTTGGCTAACACCGCCGTCACCACAGTCTCGTATGAAGAGAAGCCAAAGGAATGTGTCTCTACAAATATATATATATATATATATCCCGCTCACATGGTCCTGGTTAGAGACCATGGAGAACCATCTTCAGGTCCCTCCTGCACCAAATAAATAGCACTGACCCTCGGCGTTAGTCCATGAAACACTGCAGTTCCTGTTACGGCCTGTAGGGGGGGTACGCGGGTCCCAGAGGAGAGGGCCCACTGAACCTCAGAGGGGGGGCCCCGTAAGCAGTCCTGTAGCTCTGAGAGGACACCCCCAGCCCCAGGGGCCCAGTGTACCCTGAGGCCCCTGGGCCTGGGTACCCTGAGGCCCCTGGGTATCCCAGTCCTACAGCGTACGGCCGGTGTGTGTGAGACCCGGGGGTGGGCAGAACCACGGTCTGGGCGTTCTTTCCTGGAGTGTCGAAGGAGAACTCTGGGGGGGGGCTGCTGGGCTTGGCTGGAGTGGAGGTCAGAGGGTCGGCCTCCACAGAGGGAGGGGGGCCGTAGGAGGAGGGGGGGGACAGGGCGCTGGTCAGCAGGGGCCGGGTCCAGTCGTCTTTAAAGATCTGCACGGTCAAAGTGGACACCAGTGGCATGAGGCGCGTGGTGGCGTGCGCCAGCACCAGCTGCTCGTTGGCGTCGCGGCGGATGCGCACGTGGGCGGAGCCGGCCTTAAGGAGGAAAAACTTATGTTAGATTTAAAAATCTAGTTTATTTGTAAAGCACAGTTCCTACACAAGGCAACAATAAGATAACACCACCACAAGGCATGAGCCACAAAGGTTGATGGTAAAATACCACCGCTCCTGAGTGAACTCCTGGTAAGGACCATGTGGGGGCGCTACACTGCAAGTGCCTAAGTCTAAAATCTGTTGTTGTTGGTCCAGAAACAGAGTCTTGCAAACGTAAAATGTCGTGGAGAAATGAGATCACAGCGTGCGGTTTTCATCTCATTATAAAATGTCATAATGTGGGATTAAAAGTTCATGACGACAATGACGACAAGGGACTCTGAAATCCACAGAATCAGATCCTCAGCCGAGGACGAGGCGCTTTAGTGAGCACAGGTCTGTGGGGAAATCTCCAGTTCATGTGGATTTAAGCTGCAGAGTGTTTGGCCCCTGGTCCATGTGAGGAGCAATACTCGGCCCCCGAGGTCCCACACTGACAGAGGACACTATTGCACAACGTCACAAAACGGTTTTATTCAGTGCTTTATGCTCTATCTCTCCAAACACAGATGTAATACACTACGACTGTAGCCACAGCCGCCCTGGGGCACACGGACAAGTTCACTCCAGACTCATCCTAATGTGGGTGAAGTGAACACTGTCCTCTCCTCTTCCTACTCATCTGTCACGCCTCCTCCATTTGACCTGCAGGGGGCGCCACAGCAGGAGTGCACAGATTCATGATCAGGTTCATGAGCTCGAGTCAAAACAAACAACTTCTCTGCTCAGAGGACAAGGGTCACATCGGGTTAAACCTATGTGTGTGTCTCTCTGTGTGTGTGTGTGCGTGCATATACTTGTATGTGTGTGTGTGTATATACTAGGGATGGGCATCGATTTTCGAATATTCGAATAGTCGTTAAATCATTAAAAATCGAATAGTGTACCATATCTGGAGGGGGGAAAAAATGGTATTACTGGCGGCTTCCGCACGGGGGCAGCGTACCATTTGACGATACACAGTGGCGGGCTACATGCCAAGTCGTAGAAAATTAACAAACTGGAGAAGACACGATGGAGAAATTACTGCAGCAGTCGTCAAAAAGTTCCATGTGGCGCTATTTCCAAAAAACAACTGAAACAGAGGTACAATGTAAACTCTACGAAGCAAAGCTTGCATATCACAAGTCTACGACAACCATGCACTCTCATATGAGAGCAAAGCACCCGTGTGAAAGCGGCGGGCCGTCGTCACAGCAACAGTCAATTGCCAGCTTCGCCACTAGATTATGAGGACGAGCATGTTAAAAAATGTTCACGTCAGCAATGCTGTCTCTCAGGTATGTTTAGTAAAATGTTCAACATTTATATAATTATTGTTTGAAGTCTCCGCACTTTGTTAATTGTTTGACGTGACGACGGTATTATTGGGTGATTTATGAAGGAAAACCCGGTCCGCACACGCACCTTTTGTATTGTATATAATATCCTGTTTGTTTAATGGGATTAAAGACAGAAAACGGTTCTATAATGTTGTGCTGTGAATTGCATCCACTGTCAAAATAAAAAAGAAAGAGAAAAATCGTGGATCTATATCTGTTTCCGCAGCGGTGGGTGTTGGGGCAGTCTGGCGGCAGTTATTGTCGAATATTCGAATATTAATGATTAGTACCCCACGATTATCGAATAGTACTTTTGCTTTAAATGCACATCCCTAATATATACTTGTATATGTGTGTGTGTGTGTGTGTATATATATACTTGTATGTGTGTGTGTGTGTGTGTGTGTGTGTGCATATACTTGTATGTGTGTGTGTGTGTTTGTGTGCGTGCATATACTTGTATGTGTGTGTGTGTATATATACTTGTGTGTATATATACTTGTATGTGTGTGTGTGTGTATATATACTTGTATGTGTGTGTATATACTTGTATGTGTGTGTGTGTGTGTGTATATATACTTGTATGTGTGTGTGTGTGTATATATACTTGTATGTGTGTGTGTGTGTGTATATATACTTGTATGTGTGTGTGTGTGTGTGTGTATATATACTTGTATGTGTGTGTATATACTTGTATGTATGTGTGTGTGTGTGTGTATATATACTTGTGTGTATGTGTGTGTGTGTGTGTATATATACTTGCGTGTGTGTGTGTATATACTTGTATGCACACTCAGGAGACTGAGGAGGAGCAAGCACAGCGCCACGCTCCGGGCGGTCCCCACGCTCCGGGCGGTCCCCACGCTCCGGGCGGTCCCCACGCTCCGGGCGGTCCCCACGCTCCGGGCGGTCCCCACGCTCCGGGCGGTCCCCACGCTCGTCACATTTTGGTTAATTCTGACATCTTTACAACGCTGGTCCTTCAGTTGGACCACGCCATGTTAGATTTAGTTCCAAACCACTTCTACAGTGTGAGACTCACCAGAGAGCCGAATCCCACGGTCCAGAAGTGCTCGTTGCGGACCTCCAGGACCCCGTCCAGAGTCGACACCTGATCGGACAAACAACAACACAAATGTTATTCCTCAGAGACAAACAGCTCTGACTTTTACACTGAAAATCCAGACTCAGGTCTTATTGATTTTACATCAATATTGATATTTAAAAAGTCCAAAACATGTAGAGCCTCCACAGATCAATCTGATGAAAGAGCAGAATAAGAAATGTAGCTTGAAGGTGGAATAGTTGCTTTTATCAACCAAAACATAACGCCTTTGTTTTTACAGGACTAAGTTAGCACTGCTGCTACAACCTGCTCAGAGACTACAGGGCTAAGTTAGCACTGCTGCTACAACCTGCTCAGGTACTACAAGGCTAAGTTAGCACTGCTGCTAAAACCTGCTCTGGGACTACAGGGCTAAGTTAGCATTGCTGCTAAAACCTGCTCTGGGACTACAGGGCTAAGTTAGCATTGCTGCTACAACAACAGCAGGTTTTCCATCCGAGCACTGACCTCTCGCAGGAGTTTGTCGAGCTGACCAATGATGTGAGAGGGCGTGGTCTGAGGACGACAGAGACACACATTACTGACGGTGCAGAAAACACATTCTGTTCTTTTTATGTTTGTAAATAAAATTAAATCAATAAAGTAGAAAAAAGTACTCTGATATTTAGCACTTTCTCAACAGGAGACGACAGAAGCACAAAGCTATTCTTTACTTGCATTTAACGTCCGCCTCATTACTTATGCGTATCACGTGTGTTGCTGTAGTGTGTTTGTTTCTGTATTGTGTGTGTGTTTCTGTATGTGTGTGTGTTACTGTATTGTGTGTTGCTGTATTGTGTGTGTGTTGCTGTAGTGTGTGTGTGTTGCTGTATTGTGTGTGTGTTGCTGTAGTGTGTGTGTGTTGCTGTATTGTGTGTGTTGCTGTAGTGTGTGTGTGTTGCTGTAGTGTGTGTGTTGCTGTAGTGTGTGTGTGTTGCTGTAGTGTGTGTGTGTTGCTGTAGTGTGTGTGTGTTGCTGTATTGTGTGTGTTGCTGTATTGTGTGTGTGTTGCTGTATTGTGTGTGTGTTGCTGTAGTGTGTGTGTGTTGCTGTATTGTGTGTGTATTGCTGTATTGTGTGTTGCTGTAGTGTGTGTGTTGCTGTATGTGTGTGTGTGTTGTTGTTGCTGTAGTGTGTGTGTTGCTGTATTGTGTGTGTGTTGCTGTATGTGTGTTGCTGTATGTATGTTGCTGTAGTGTATGTTGCTGTAGTGTATGTTGCTGTAGTGTGTGTGTTGATGTATTGTGTGTTGCTGTAGTGTGTGTGTTGCTGTATTGTGTGTTGCTGTAGTGTGTGTGTTGCTGTATTGTGTGTGTGTTGCTGTATTGTGTGTGTGTTGCTGTATTGTGTGTTGCTGTAGTGTGTGTGTTGCTGTATTGTGTGTTGCTGTAGTGTGTGTACCTGCAGCAGCACTTTTCCGCTGTACACACTCATGGGGTACATGGTCCCGAAGGTCATGAGTGCGATGGCCACGGCGGACGCTGTGTCCACGGCGTTGTAGTTACTGCCACAAAACAATCAGATAAACTTTATTGATCAGAATAACTTTATTGATCTCAGATTGACACATGCTGTGGGAGAATCGATGGTTTTGTAAAATTCTGACATAACTTCTGTTGTGATTTAGGGCGATATCAAATCAAAGGAGTCCCTGTGAGTCTGGCTGTAGTCTCGTCCTGGTCCCTGTGAGTCTGGCTGTAGTCTCGTCCTGGTCCCTGCGAGTCTGGCTGTAGTCTCGTCCTGGTCCTGTCCCTGTGAGTCTGGCTATAGTCTCGTCCTGGTCCTGTCCCTGTGATTCTGGCTGTAGTCTCGTCCTGGTCCCTGTGAGTCTGGCTTTAGTCTCGTCCTGGTCCCTGTGAGTCTGGCTGTAGTCTCGTCCTGGTCCTTGTGAGTCTGGCTGTAGTCTCGTCCTGGTCCCTGTGAGTCTGGCTGTAGTCTCGTCCTGGTCCCTGTGAGTCTGGCTGTAGCCTCGTCCTGGTCCCTGTGAGTCTGGCTGTAGTCTCGTCCTGGTCCCTGTGAGTCTGGCTGTAGTCTCGTCCTGGTCCCTGTGAGTCTGGCTGTAGTCTCGTCCTGGTCCCTGTGAGTCTGGCTGTAGTCTCGTCCTGGTCCCTGTGAGTCTGGCTGTAGTCTCGTCCTGGTCCTGTCCCTGTGAGTCTGGCTATAGTCTCGTCCTGGTCCTGTCCCTGTGATTCTGGCTGTAGTCTCGTCCTGGTCCCTGTGAGTCTGGCTGTAGTCTCGTCCTGGTCCCTGTGAGTCTGGCTGTAGTCTCGTCCTGGTCCCTGTGAGTCTGGCTGTAGTCTCGTCCTGGTCCCTGTGAGTCTGGCTGTAGTCTCGTCCTGGTCCCTGTGAGTCTGGCTGTAGTCTCGTCCTGGTCCCTGTGAGTCTGGCTGTAGTCTCGTCCTGGTCCCTGTGAGTCTGGCTGTAGTCTCGTCCTGGTCCCTGTGAGTCTGGCTGTAGTCTCGTCCTGGTCCCTGTGAGTCTGGCTGTAGTCTCGTCCTGGTCCCTGTGAGTCTGGTCCCTGTGAGTCTGGCTGTAGTCTCGTCCTGGTCCCTGTGAGTCTGGCTTTAGTCTCGTCCTGTTCCCTGTGAGTCTGGCTGTAGTCTCGTCCTGGTCCCTATGAGTCTGGTCCCTGTGAGTCTGGCTGTAGTCTCGTCCTGGTCCTGTCCCTGTGAGTCTGGCTATAGTCTCGTCCTGGTCCTGTCCCTGTGAGTCTGGCTTTAATCTCGTCCTGGTCCCTGTGAGTCTGGCTGTAGTCTCGTCCTGGTCCCTGTGAGTCTGGCTGTGGACTCTTCCTGGTCCTGTCCCTGTGAGTCTGGCTGTAGTCTCGTCCTGGTCCCTGTGAGTCTGGCTGTGGACTCTGCCTGGTCCCTGTGAGTCTGGCTGTGGACTCTGCCTGGTCCCTGTGAGTCTGGCTGTGGACTCTGCCTGGTCCCTGTGAGTCTGGCTGTGGACTCTGCCTGGTCCCTGTGAGTCTGGCTGTGGACTCTGCCTGGTCCCTGTGAGTCTGGCTGTGGACTCTGCCTGGTCCCTGTGAGTCTGGCTGTGGACTCTGCCTGGTCCCTGTGAGTCTGGCTGTGGACTCTGCCTGGTCCCTGTGAGTCTGGCTGTGGACTCTGCCTGGTCCCTGTGAGTCTGGCTGTGGACTCTTCCTGGTCCTGTTGCTGTGAGTCTGGCTGTAGTCTCGTCCTGGTCCCTGTGAGTCTGGCTGTAGTCTCGTCCTGGTCCCTGTGAGTCTGGCTGTGAACTCTTCCTGGTCCCTGTGAGTCTGGTTGTAGTCTCGTCCTATTCCCTGTGAGTCTGGCTTTAGTCTCGTCCTGTTCCCTGTGAGTCTGGCTGTAGTCTCGTCCTGGTCCCTGTGAGTCTGGCTGTAGTCTCGTCCTGGTCCCTGTGAGTCTGGCTGTAGTCTCGTCCTGGTCCCTGTGAGTCTGGCTGTGGACTCTTCCTAGTCCCTGTGAGTCTGGCTGTGGACTCTTCCTAGTCCCTGTGAGTCTGGCTGTGGACTCTTCCTGGTCCTGTCCCTGTGAGTCTGGCTGTAGTCTCGTCCTGGTCCCTGTGAGTCTGGCTGTAGTCTCGTCCTGGTCCCTGTGAGTCTGGCTGTAGACTCTGCCTGGTCCCTGTGAGTCTGGCTGTGGACTCTTCCTGGTCCTGTCGCTGTGAGTCTGGCTGTAGTCTCGTCCTGGTCCTGTCCCTGTGATTCTGGCTGTAGTCTCGTCCTGGTCCCTGTGAGTCTGCCTGTGAACTCTTCCTGGTCCCTGTGAGTCTGGCTTTAGTCTCGTCCTGTTCCCTGTGAGTCTGGCTTTAGTCTCGTCCTGTTCCCTGTGAGTCTGGCTTTAGTCTCGTCCTGTTCCCTGTGAGTCTGGTTGTAGTCTCGTCCTGGTCCCTGTGAGTCTGGCTGTAGTCTCGTCCTGGTCCCTGTGAGTCTGGCTATAGTCTCGTCCTGGTCCCTGTGAGTCTGGCTGTAGTCTCGTTCTGGTCCCTGTGAGTCTGGCTGTAGTCTCGTCCTGGTCCCTGTGAGTCTGGCTTTAGTCTCGTCCTGTTCCCTGTGAGTCTGGCTGTAGTCTCGTCCTGGTCCCTGTGAGTCTGGCTGTAGTCTCGTCCTGGACACTGTGAGTCTGGCTGTAGTCTCGTCCTGGTCCCTGTGAGTCTGGCTGTAGTCTCGTCCTGGTCCCTGTGAGTCTGGCTGTAGTCTCGTCCTGGTCCCTGTGTGTCTGGCTGTAGTCTCGTCCTGGTCCCTGTGAGACTTACTTGATCTCGATGAGCATGTAGGTGATGCAGAGGGACAGAGCTCCTGCCATGTTGATCAACACAAACGGATTCATGCGAGGCAGCAACACACTGCTCAGACCTGGGATGATGCCGCACAAACTGGGTAGACACACACACACACACACACACACACACACACACACACAAAAGACAAGTCATTATAACAATACAGTTCCTCGACAATCCATTGTGATGTTCTGTGACTGTGTGGTTTGACAACATCACAGCCAAAGAAATGAGAGAGACCAGAGAGAGAGACCAGAGAGAGACCAGAGAGAGAGAGACCAGAGACCAGAGAGAGACCAGAGAGAGACCAGAGAGAGAGAGACCAGAGACCAGAGAGAGACCAGAGAGAGACCAGAGAGAGAGAGACCAGAGAGAGAGACCAGAGAGAGACCAAAGACCAGAGAGAGAGAGACCAGAGAGAGAGACCAGAGAGAGACCAGAGAGAGAGAGACCAGAGAGAGAGAGACCAGAGAGAGACCAGAGAGAGAGAGACCAGAGAGAGACCAGAGAGAGACCAGAGAGAGACCAGAGAGAGAGACCAGAGAGAGAGACCAGTGAGAGACCAGTGAGAGACCAGAGAGAGACCAGAGAGAGAGACCAGAGAGAGAGACCAGAGAGAGAGACCAGTGAGAGACCAGTGAGAGACCAGAGAGAGACCAGTGAGAGACCAGAGAGAGAGACCAGAGACCGACCAGTGAGAGACCAGAGAGAGACCAGTGAGAGACCAGAGAGAGACCAGAGACGAGACCAGTGAGAGACCAGAGAGAGACCAGTGAGAGACCAGAGAGAGACCAGTGAGAGACCAGAGAGAGACCAGTGAGAGACCAGAGATTAAGCAGAGAGAGGCTAAGCTCTGGAAGATGAGCTTTCTGTTCTGGAGGTGATTTATAAATCCAGACTCTTAATCCGAACTCCTAGAATTATCAATGAAACTGTTTTTGTTTACCAATCTCACAGTGACAGCTGGTTTTATTCATATACTTGTTTAGCTTGTTTCTTTCATGAGTCTGTCTTGTGCACACTGGGGACTATTCCAACATGGTTTTACTGCAAATGACAAATATAATGAGTCTGAATCCACTGCGTGCCCAGAGGGAGTGTGAAAACATTCTGATGGTGTCGCTCCCGTCAGTGTTTGTGGAGTATTGACCGACAAAGTGGTTTTATAAGTCCATAGCTTATTCCATAAAGAGGAGAGCGCGCTGGTTCACAGGTCACTGCGTACAGCCCTGGCGGCGCACAATCCCGGCCCAGCGTGTCACTTTGAATTCCCCACATGGAGGAGGGCCATGGGAGCTGTGTCAAAGAGTGCGGGTGGAGCGGGGGTGGAGCGGGGGTGGAGCGGGGGTGGAGCGGGGGTGGAGCGGGGAGGGAGCAGCAGGCCTGGAGGTGTTGTCATAGGATAATGTTCAGAAGGTAAACACGAGAAAACATGTCAAGCAAATCAGGTCAGACGCATCATTCCACAGAGAGGCTTCAGACGCTAACGAACATTTGTTTTTATTACTGCAGAGGCTTCAGCAGCAGAGGTTTCAGCAGTGGCTTCAGCAGAGGCTTCAGCAGCAGAGGTTTCAGCAGTGGCTTCAGCAGAGGCTTCAGCAGTGGCTTCAGCAGTGGCTTCAGCAGAGGCTTCAGCAGTGGCTTCAGCAGAGGCTTCAGCAGAGGCTTCAGCAGTGGCTTCAGCAGTGCCTTCAGCAGAGGCTTCAGCAGTGGCTTCAGCAGTGGCTTCAGCAGTGGCTTCAGCAGTGGCTTCAGCAGTGGCTTCAGCAGTGGCTTCAGCAGAGGCTTCAGCAGTGGCTTCAGCTGCAGTGGCTTCAGCAGAGGCTTCAGCAGTGGCTTCAGCAGTGGCTTCAGCAGCAGAGGCTTCAGCTGCAGAGGCTTCAGCAGCAGAGGCTTCAGCAGCAGAGGCTTCAGCAGTGGCTTCAGCAGTGGCTTCAGCAGCAGAGGCTTCAGCTGCAGTGGCTTCAGCAGAGGCTTCAGCAGAGGCTTCAGCAGTGGCTTCAGCAGTGGCTTCAGCAGCAGAGGCTTCAGCTGCAGTGGCTTCAGCTGCAGTGGCTTCAGCAGAGGCTTCAGCAGTGGCTTCAGCAGAGGCTTCAGCAGTGGCTTCAGCAGAGGCTTCAGCAGTGGCTTCAGCAGTGGCTTCAGCAGAGGCTTCAGCAGAGGCTTCAGCAGCAGAGGCTTCAGCAGCAGAGGCTTCAGCAGCAGAGGCTTCAGCAGCAGAGGCTTCAGCAGCAGAGGCTTCAGCAGTGGCTTCAGCAGTGGCTTCAGCAGCAGAGGCTTCAGCTGCAGTGGCTTCAGCAGAGGCTTCAGCAGTGGCTTCAGCAGTGGCTTCAGTAGCAGAGGCTTCAGCAGCAGAGGCTTCAGCAGCAGAGGCTTCAGCAGCAGTGGCTTCAGCAGTGGCTTCAGCAGAGGCTTCAGCAGTGGCTTCAGCAGTGGCTTCAGCAGTGGCTTCAGCAGAGGCTTCAGCAGTGGCTTCAGCAGTGGCTTCAGCAGAGGCTTCAGCAGTGGCTTCAGCAGAGGCTTCAGCAGTGGCTTCAGCAGTGGCTTCAGCAGTGGCTTCAGCAGTGGCTTCAGCAGCAGAGGCTTCAGCAGCAGAGGCTTCAGCAGCAGAGGCTTCAGCAGTGGCTTCAGCAGTGGCTTCAGCAGAGGCTTCAGCAGTGGCTTCAGCAGAGGCTTCAGCAGAGGCTTCAGCAGTGGCTTCAGCAGAGGCTTCAGCAGTGGCTTCAGCAGAGGCTTCAGCAGTGGCTTCAGCAGAGGCTTCAGCAGTGACTTCAGCAGTGGCTTCAGCAGAGGCTTCAGCAGAGGCTTCAGCAGAGGCTTCAGCAGTGGCTTCAGCAGAGGCTTCAGCAGTGGCTTCAGCAGTGGCTTCAGCAGAGGCTTCAGCAGTGGCTTCAGCAGTGGCTTCAGCAGAGGCTTCAGCAGTGGCTTCAGCAGAGGCTTCAGCAGTGGCTTCAGCAGAGGCTTCAGCAGTGGCTTCAGCAGTGGCTTCAGCAGTGGCTTCAGCAGAGGCTTCAGCAGTGGCTTCAGCAGTGGCTTCAGCAGAGGCTTCAGCAGTGGCTTCAGCAGTGGCTTCAGCAGAGGCTTCAGCAGAGGCTTCAGCAGTGGCTTCAGCAGTGGCTTCAGCAGAGGCTTCAGCAGAGGCTTCAGCAGAGGCTTCAGCAGAGGCTTCAGCAGAGGCTTCAGCAGACGGCACGGCCCATGGAGGCATCGCTACATTCTTTATATGCTAAAGCTAGAGAGTTTATACTAGCTTCTTTATTATAATCCAAAGAAAAGAGACCAGAGAGAGAGAGCACAGAGAGCAGAGAGAGACCAGAGAGAGAGAGCAGAGAGAGACCAGAGAGAGACCAGAGAGAGATCGGAGAGAGAGCATAATAAAGAAACTAGTATAGTTATTTTTTAATTTGATTTTATCTTAATGTGTATATATAATTCTGTATTTTTATGTGTTTTTATTTTTTATTCATTTATTTTTTCTCCTTCCAGACTGTTGGAGACCATTTCAGGTCCTGTTGAAGCTCATCCAGAGAATGCCAAGAGTGAAGCAGTATCAGAGCAAAAGGAGCTACTTTGAAGAACCAGAATATAACACATATTTACACTTGGTTCATACTTTTTTACTACGAACATCATTCACATGAGTTCATCATAGGTTTGATGCCCTCAGTGTCAATCTACAATTTTCATAATCATGAAAATAAAAAACTCTTTGAATGAGGTGTGTCCAAACTTTTGGTCTGTACGGTGTGTGGACCACAGTTCCATCCATCCATCCATCCATCTTCTACCCTTTAATCCATTTCTGGGTCAGGGGGGTGGCAATCAGAGATGCCACCCAAGTCTCATAGCACCAGCCCCTCACTGACCCTCTGCAGGTGGTGAGTCCACAGGAGGACGGCTGCTCTCTGAGTGTGAGCATAGCCTTGATCTTTCAGTGGGGGCTTTGGGCAAAGTGGGGTTAAGTGTCTTGCCCAAGGACACAACGACAGCAGTCATCAGTGGGAGTCGATGGAGAAGGTGCAGAGGTGGACCACAGTTACTCTTTTCAAATGATGCAGGTGCAGCGTATATACAGGCGCAGCATATATACAGACGCAGCATATATACAGACGCAGCTGATATACAGGCGCAGCTGATATACAGGCGCAGCATATATACAGGCGCAGCTTATATACAGGCACAGCTTATATACAGGCGCAGCTTATATACAGGCGCAGCTTATATACAGGCGCAGCTTATATACAGGCGCAGCTTATATACAGGTGCAGCTTATATACAGGTGCAGCATATATACAGGTGCAGCATATATACAGGTGCAGCATATATACAGGTGCAGAATATATACAGGTGCAGCTTATATACAGGTGCAGCATATATACAGGTGCAGCTTATATACAGGTGCAGCTTATATACAGGTGCAGAATATATACAGGTGCAGCTTATATACAGGTGCAGCTTATATACAGGTGCAGCTTATATACAGGTGCAGCTTATATACAGGTGCAGCTTATATACAGGTGCAGCTTATATACAGGTGCAGCTTATATACAGGTGTGCCTAATAATCTTTAAAAAAAAGTGTTGTGTAAACAATAGCAGAGACCATGGTCGTGAGAGTCAGACCGAGAGACCAGAGAGCAAAGCCGCTCCACATGGTCTGTGTGATGCGTGTGTGTGTGTTTGTGTGCATGTGTATGTCTGTCTGATGTGTGTATCTGTAAGTGCTTGTGTCTGTGTGTGTGTGCGCGTCTGTCTGTCTGTAGTAGTGTCTGTGTGTGTGTCTGTGTGCATCTGTGTGTCTATGTATGTGTGCGTGTGCGTGTGCGTGCGCGTGCGTGTGTGTGTGTCTATGTATGTGTATGTGTGTCTGCGGAGGCCTTTATATAACCCCACTACCCCCGGATCACAGGAGGTTAAGTGGGGACGCACACACTCACACTCTCAATGAAAACATGCACTCTTTGACACCGCCCCCCACCCCCTCCGCCAGACACACACACAGAAACTAGGCTGGGACGTCCTGTTCATCTCCTCTCCCTCGGCCAATCAGAGCGCGGAAAGGCACTGGAAGTCTCTGCACTGTCGCCCCGAGTAACCAACCTCGCCTGACTGCTGACTGTGTGTGTCTGTGCGTGTGTGCGTGTATGTGTGTGCGTTTGTCTGTGTGAGTCTCTCTGTGTGTGTGTGTGTGTGTGTGTGTGTGTGTGCGTCTCTCTGTGTGTGTCTCTTTGCCTGTGTAAGTGTGCGTGTGTCTGTGCGTGTGTGCGTCTGTGCCCGTGTCTCTGTGTGTGTGTGTGTGTGCGTGCGTCTGAGTGTGTGTGTAAGTGTGTGTCAGTGTTGAGTGGGGATGTGGGATTACACAGTGGATGTAATATTCATCAGCACGTACAGACACAGCGGTCTGCTTTGTTTCACATCATCACTTTGAGACATCACAGACTGTGTCACAGAGAAGTACGTTATCAATAAGAAACAGGAGCGACTGATTTTAAGTTTTAGAACTGTGTGTGTGTGTGTGTGTGTATGTGTATGTGTGTGTGTGTATGTCTGTGTGTGTATGTATATGTGTGTATTTTTTGAACATTTCCCCCAAAAAGGTCCTCTTTATCTTCTCTTATCTGACTCCAGCTTGATCACTGTGTTTTGTTCAGCTCAATGGCTGCTGTGACTCATTCGATATTAACAGTTATCAGTTATTTTTCTTGCTTTTTTCTGCCTGAGATGTTGCTGCAGTTCAGTGTTCATGGTTTTACACTGGTCCAAACCAGAGCAGAGAGGATTCATGGTTTTATACTGGTCCAGTCCAGAGCAGAGAGGATTCATGGTTTTACACTGGTCCAAACCAGAGCAGAGAGGATTCATGGTTTTATACTGGTCCAGACCAGAGCAGAGAGGATTCATGGTTTTACACTGGTCCAGACCAGAGCAGAGAGGATTCATGGTTTTATACTGGTCCAGACCAGAGCAGAGAGGATTCATGGTTTTATACTGGTCCAGTCCAGAGCAGAGAGGATTCATGGTTTTACACTGGTCCAGTCCAGAGCAGAGAGGATTCATGGTTTTACACTGGTCCAGTCCAGAGCAGAGAGGATTCATGGTTTTACACTGGTCCAGTCCAGAGCAGAGAGGATTCATGGTCCAAACTAAGTGGATCAGGAGAAAATCCACTGGAGGAATGCTAACTTTATGAAAAATGCCAATGAAGCTTTTAGCATTTTACTTTGGACCAGAGCAGAGACAATGGTCTGAACCACCTCTGCTGCTGTTGCATTTTAGCATTACTATTGTTTGCTTTTAAGAATGATTCTGGGTATTCTGGGTGATTTTAGTCTGCAGTACCACAGGCGCCCCCTGTGCCCATGGGTGGGACAGCTGTATACTAGTAATACGCTATCCAGTTATTATTATAGATCCATGGGTAGAGTAGAGTAGTGTTCTGTAGAGTTCTGTAGAGTAGGGTAGAGTAGAGTAGGGCCCTGGTGGAAACAGGATTCATGAAGACGCTGTGGTCGGATATGTAAACTTTCACAAGACTTTCTGTTTGGACAAACTTATTATTCATGAAAAAGTTAAGTACCCGAGCTTTAAGTAAATGTTCTCAAAATACTACACAATAATCTCCAACTCGAGAAAACTAACGAGGTCAAGTATCGTTCACTTTTCGTCCTGGATTCAATATATTCGGAGCAAAGTTATGTGCACTTATGGAATACCCACAAAGCACCATTCTGAGTGGAGTCAGCTGGTCCTACAGGGCACATCCTCTGGCCTCTGACCCATGTGACCCATGTGACCCGTGTTTGTGTGACCCGTTTAGGATTCATTCTGGGTCCACATTTAGAGAAGCAGCACATTGGAAAAGAATTGGGAAGATGTGCAGAGGCTAAAAACTGGACGTGAGAAGTCCTGATCTCTGACCTGTGTGTGTGCTTGTGTGTGTTTGTGCGTCTGTGTGTGCGCGTCTGTGTGTGCGTCTGTGTATGTGTGTGCTTGTGTCTGTGCGTCTGTCTGTCCGTGTATGTGTGTGCGTGTGTCTCTGTGCGTTTGTGTGTGTGTGTCTGTATAATAGCTACAGTAAATTTATAGAGGTGAGAATATTACTGTCGGAGTAGAGCCGCTGCTTTCACCATGTGGGGAGGAGCCAGTTGGCTCACACAGGTGTTTGGGATGGCTCCAGGACGCCTCTCTGGATCGGGGTTCTGGACTTGTCCCACTTGGAGGACACAAGGGGAAGACCCAGGACACGGCCTCTCAGCTTGGCCTGTGTGTGGAGAGTGAAGTCTGGGCGTCTCTGCTTAGACTGCAGCCTCCGCGACCAAGATTAAGAATTTATAGTGATACTTCTTGTTTTGGAATATGAAGCCATTTTTCATGTTGAAAATAATTGATAAACTTATTTTCATTTAAATAAATGATCTGGAGTGATGAAACAGCCCCGTCTAGTGGTATAAGTGGGTAATTACACTCTAAGCTGCCCACAGTGGAGGAGTGGACACTGAGGTCTGATCCAAATGAAATATCTTATTGTTCTAAATGAAGTAAAAAAAGGATTTAGATATTATCCTTTTGTTTTAAACGGCCCGTCCATGAGGTCATGGTCGATTTTCAGTGAGCAAGAGGCTCAAAAAGGCTATTTTGCACAATATTGTAAGCAGAGATAGTTCATTTTTGCAGTGTTTGTGTGTGTGTGTGTGTGTGCTGACGGAGAAGTTCAGTGGTGCAGCGTCAGTGTGTGTGTGTGTGTGTGTGTGTGTGTGTGTGTTGTCGACTCAGGGTAAGTGGATCCTTCCTGTTCACTGTAACTCTTCAGATGTGCTGATGAAGATCACTGAGGAAGAGGAGGAAGAAGAGGAGGAAGAGGTCACCGGAGCCCTTACCTTCTGCTCAGGTCAGCCACGTGCTCCTGGAGCCAACTGCTGCTGGCCGCTGCACACACACAAACACACACAGACACAGACAAACACACACACAAACACAGACACACACAGACACACAATTGTTAGTGACAGTTTGAGTCAATTTTTTTCTGGTTGTGGAATAATACATTTTCCATATTGTGCAAGAATCAATACAATCAATCTCCATGGCGATCGTTTTAGTCTCACTATCTTTCATTTGCCTTTTCCCAAAGAAATGGACAACTTTGTAAAGTCCTCAGAGACGTTAATAATGTTATACACAAATACATTTAGATTAGGACGGACTCATCCTTGGGAACAATATCAAACCTGACTCCATTACAACAGTGCTGTCCATGACTGAGAGTAATGGGCCAGAATTCCAGACAACCCAAGTCACTTAGATGAAAGGCAACTCTACCAAAGATTAGAAAAAAGAGAAAATAATCATATAATAAAAAAGTCCATGTAATTTTTATGGTTTTTTTGTTAATTGTCCATGTTTTAAGAAAGAAGCGACTTAATATTTCTTTCTTCTTTCTGCTCCTTTTCATTTGTGTGACAAAAGTTATTTGAAATGTGATGGTATTGTCCACAATTTAAATAAATACATAAAAATAACAAATTTAAACAAATAAATATCCAAATATAGAACATATTTGTTTCAGCTTCACGCTGTAAGTGAACCTCCGAGTTAAACTGTATCATAAACATAAATGAGTTATATTTACTATTATACCTTTTTTGTCACTAAAAGAATCCAAGATCTTTCCTCCAATCAATCGGAAATGTAAAAACACAGATCAAAATGCATTAAAAAGTCAATAAATATATCATAGTAAAAAGCAGCATAAAAAGTATGGGGTTTAAAAGTCATTACAAAGTGGGTTTAAAAAGGGAAATTAAAGTAATGAATCTTACAAAATAGAATCAGTAGAAAAGCACTAAATGATTTATCGATAGTTTCTGAGCCTGTATCTGGGTTTGGACTCTGACTTTTCCATATTGTGACATCAGTAATACCCCACAGCTCCTTTCATTGCTGGTTTTATCCTCCCAGTTTGGCCTGGCACCATATTGCGGCGCTCACATTTCCTCGCCAAACTTCACATCTGACTCCAAAGCGCTCGTGTTCCCGGTGAGACGAGTGTATCTGACAATGTTGTATAATATTTACTGACCCGTGCTGTAATTAAAACCGCCGAGCGCAGACTGCTTTTTTGGTTTTTTTAAGAAGCTGCTGCGGCGGCGTGCGCTGAGAGTAACGCGCACAGACGTGGGTGCGCCGGCGGGCTGGGTGTCGGGTCAAAGGCTCGTCACGTCCCCGCGCTCCTCCGACCTGCGCGTGTGTGTGTGTGTGTGTGTGTGTTTGTTTTGCTAGCAGGCTGAGTCAATCCAAACAAACATTTTAATGGACTAACTTATTTATGTGTGTGGGCGCGCACACGGTGAGGGGTATGTCTGTTGGCACACTACATTACCGCTGTCTGGAACATGGTTGCGTAATGCACTTTTGGACAGAGAGAGAGAGAAAGAGAGAGAGAGAGAGCGCGAGAGAGAGAGGGGAGTGTAATGAGCGAGTGAGTGGGATAAGTCTGTATCTGCGGAGCTGCGTTCTCAGGTCTGTGCATAGATGATAAAAACTCAAATGTTTGTTTATTCTTTATGGTTGTGTGAAGAAATGCAACCCATAGCAACTGTTAATAACATTTTTTTTACATAATTGCAATCAAGATTAAGACATTTTCATAAGATTTTTTGTCCTGCAGTGGGGAATTTTCAGTGTTGCATCTCCATAAAGTGTCCAGTCATCAACACGCACAGATGTAAACAACTATATATTTACCGCACAAGAATATACAGGATTTACATACATTTACATACATCTTAATCTTACAGAACAGTAACTCTAAACTAAAATTAAATACATTATAACTTGATTACACATCTCTCTCTGTGTAGTGTAATTATCATGTAGTAGAGTAATTAAACATTTACATCCTGTGGCTCAGAACAGACTTAGTGTAGTGTTAGAAAAACCACAGAAACCCCGCTCCGCTAGTGTTTGGTTTGTGTTTTGTCCGCTCTTGCTGCTCGCTCTGGAATAGACTTAACAAGCTTCTGAATGAAAAGTTTAGTTTAGAAAAGTTGCCAGATCGATCGACTGACAAGACCAAAGTTATCTGTGTGCACTGTCGCTGTGAAATAGTTATCACTGTAGCATATCCACCTGATGCCAAACACACGGCTACATATTCATAGAACCGTAGTTACATTAGGTAACTGGGGCAATGGATGCATGGATCATAACATATGGATAACGCAACCCAGAACTAACTGTTGGCACTTTGCTGCGTAATTTAGTATCACCCTGTTTTGATCTTTAGAAAGGGAAGTTGAAGAGTATTTTTGGTAATATTTATACATTTTATTATACATCTGTTTATTAAAAAACAGTCACACTGCACATGGTCAAATTATGTCGCCCGTGCAGGAAACTGTCGGCCCTGGAGAGCAGTTCAGTGACAGACTAATCCACCCTCACTGTAAGAAAGAGGTTTGGCAAGTCATGCTGCTGTCAGACTGTACAACGAACAATGAGGACTAACAAATACTACCACCCTGACCTCCCATGTCGCACATATACAGTATTTTATTCTTCTTTATCACGCTAAAGTTAGAGATTTAATAATATTCTTAGGGTTGGGAAAAATAGTGTGTTAACGGTTTACGTTAATTGTTTAATTTTAACTAATTAAAATACATTGGGTCGATTAATAAGCCCGTCACTCTTTCCTTGCTGTGGTCGCGGAGCTGCAGAAGAAGACAGACTTCAGTTTCCAGAGGCTAATGCTACAATCTTAGCTGGTGATGATAAAAACAGAAGCCATCCGTGTGCCTCGTCCTCAAACGGACTACGGCAAACAACGAGGAGAGGTTTGGTGAAAGACGGGTCTGCTTTCCAAACAGATCGATGACAAGATAACCAATGCAATACGTGTTGGGTTGCTAGAAACTGCCTTGCTACAAAACTGACTTCAAGACTAACAAGACTTCAAATAAGTGTAAGAAGGCACTAAAAACACGCACACAGGTTATATCCTCCAGCTCCGGTCCTGACCAAGCATGGGTTCCCGGGCGCTGTTACTACGGCAACGACTGCTCCTGACGTAAGCCTTAGTGGCATCAGGATGGGTCAAATGCAGAGGATGAAGTGCCCTACGGGGATTAATAAAGTGCACCTTTACCTTTATCTTTAAATAAGCTGCTAAACTAATACATTTATATTTCAGAAGAAGTGTCTAGAGCTAAACTCAGGGAAGATAGATATTGTTTATATGGAGTTGCACATTTTGCTGAGGCTGTATCAGTCGTTTCCTACACACTTGTTCAGTTATCTTGTGTTGTGTGTTTTTTTTACCACTGTTCTGTAACTGCTGATGCAACACTGAAAATTCCCAACTGTGGAATGAACAGAGGACTTCATCTTGGTGTAAAGACACGTAAAGTGCAGCTCTGACGGTGCAGCTCTGTGCGTGCAGAATTCTAGCGATGTGCGTTGTACCAAAAGCTAAGTGTGTGTCTCACCCCCCCCCCCCCCCCCCCCACCACCCTCTACCCCCACCACCCCCCCTCGCCCCCCCTCTCTCTGTCGTCCCAAAATGTCAGATGTTAAGTGATGTTGAGACTGCACTGAACGCTACAGCAGACAGCCAAGCACAAACACACGCACTCTCTCTTATTCACACACACACACACACACAGACAGATACATGTACAGACAGACACACGGACGCACATACACTGACATACACACAGGTGTACGCACTCCTGTAATAACAATCTTACAACATAATGAATTACCAGCTGCTTTTTGGAGCCTTTTGCTCTAAAAAGCAGCTATGATGATTCTGCGACACAGACACACACACAGACACACACACAGACAGACACACACACACAGATGTCGTGACCTCTTTTATCCAAATGCTCATGCACCAAGTGACTCAGAAGGACCCGAATTGTGCAACACTCCATCTTCCCCCAAACCAACATCAGAGGCACTGTCTGAGTCCAGGCCGAATCCAGGCTGAATCCAGGCTCAATCCAGGCTCAGTCCAGGCTCAGTCCAGGCTCAGTCCAGGCTCAGTCCAGGCTCAGTCCAGGCTCAGTCCAGGCTCAGTCCAGGCTCAGTCCAGGCTCAGTCCAGGCTCAGTCCAGGCTCAGTCCAGGCTCAGTCCAGGCTCAGTCCAGGCTCAGTCCAGGCTCAGTCCAGGCTCAGCCCAGGCTCAGCCCAGGCTCAGCCCAGGCTCAGCCCAGGCTCGGTCCAGGCTCGGTCCAGGCTCAGTCCAATATGAACCCCTGGCCTGTAAAGCGTGTGTGGTGCATCAGAACAGAGGAGAGTGGAAAGCTGGGGTACAGGGCCCTCTGCTGGCTTCTGGGGGGGCAGCAGAGAGGAGGCTGCTTCAACACCAACTCCCATCATGCTCCAGGATTTAAAGACTTTTCAGCAATAAAATGTGTTCTTCTTTGTCCTCAGATAGAAAAAGTGCGATGATTGTGCAGTGGATTATTGTTGTACTGTTATAAAAGGTGTATTACATGAAAAATACAAAAAAACATGGGCTGAATATTCTTCTTAAATGTGTACGTTTCAGCCAATATTACAGTGAACAGTTATTTTGAATACATACATAATATACACACATTTTTATAGATCTAATATGCAGTTTCAGAGTAATAAAAAGTATAGGGTTTGGGCTTAGAGACCAGGACCAGACCTCATCACTGGGTCTACAGCCTCAGTCCTGGGTCTACAGCCTCAGTCCTGGATCTACAGCCTCAGTCCTGGATCTACAGCCTCAGTCCTGGAGCTACAGCCTCAGTCCTGGAGCTACAGCCTCAGTCCTGGATCTACAGCCTCAGTCCTGGGTCTACAGCCTCAGTCCTGGGTCTACAGCCTCAGTCCTGGGTCTACAGCCTCAGTACTGGGTCTACAGCCTCAGGCCTGGATCAGAGACCAGGACCAGACCTCATCACTGGGTCTACAGCCTCAGTCCTGGGTCTACAGCCTCCGTCCTGGGTCTACAGCCTCCGTCCTGGGTCTACAGCCTCCGTCCTGGGTCTACAGCCTCCGTCCTGGGTCTACAGCCTCAGTCCTGGGTCTACAGCCTCAGTCCTGGGTCTACAGCCTCAGTCCTGGGTCTACAGCCTCAGTCCTGGGTCTACAGCCTCAGTACTGGGTCTACAGCCTCAGGCCTGGATCAGAGACCAGGACCAGACCTCATCACTCAGAGACCAAGACCAGACCAGGACCAGACCTCATGAACTCACCTTCAGAGACGTAAGAGAAGGGTTTGTTCCGGACTGAGAGCAGCGTCAGGAGGTTGAAGACGAGCGCCACAAACGTCCCGACCAACAACCGGCCCCTGAGGGACACACAAAACACAGGTGAGAACTTTAAAACCACAACAAATAAACTATCGCCCTGTTTCCACCACCTCCGAGCCCCCCACTGCTGCTGGAGCATGACCCCACTGCTGTAGAAGCATGACCCCACTGCTGCAGGAGCATGACCTCACTGCTGCAGGAGCATGACCCCACTGCTGCTGGAGCATGACCCCACTGCTGCTGGAGCATGACCCCACTGCTGCAGGAGCATGACCCCACTGCTGCAAGAGCATGACCTCACTGCTGCAGGAGCATGACCTCACTGCTGCAGGAGCATGACCTCACTGCTGCAGGAGCATGACCCCACTGCTGCAGGAGCATGACCCCACTGCTGCAGGAGCATGACCTCACTGCTGCAGGAGCATGACCTCACTGCTGCAGGAGCATGACCCCACTGCTGCTGGAGCATGACCCCACTGCTGCAAGAGCATGACCTCACTGCTGCAAGAGCATGACCTCACTGCTGCTGGAGCATGACCTCACTGCTGCTGGAGCATGACCCCAGTGCTGCTGGAGCATGACCCCACTGCTGCAGGAGCATGACCTCACTGCTGCTGGAGCATGACCCCACTGCTGCAGGAGCATGACCCCACTGCTGCAGGAGCATGACCCCACTGCTGCAAGAGCATGACCTCACTGCTGCAGGAGCATGACCTCACTGCTGCAAGAGCATGACCTCACTGCTGCAGGAGCATGACCTCACTGCTGCTGGAGCATGACCCCACTGCTGCTGGAGCATGACCCCACTGCTGCAGGAGCATGACCTCACTGCTGCTGGAGCATGACCCCACTGCTGCAGGAGCATGACCCCACTGCTGCAGGAGCATGACCCCACTGCTGCAGGAGCATGACCCCACTGCTGCTGGAGCATGACCCCACTGCTGCAAGAGCATGACCTCACTGCTGCAGGAGCATGACCTCACTGCTGCTGGAGCATGACCCCACTGCTGCTGGAGCATGACCCCACTGCTGCAGGAGCATGACCTCACTGCTGCTGGAGCATGACCCCACTGCTGCAGGAGCATGACCCCACTGCTGCAGGAGCATGACCCCACTGCTGCTGGAGCATGACCCCACTGCTGCTGGAGCATGACCCCACTGCTGCAAGAGCATGACCTCACTGCTGCAGGAGCATGACCTCACTGCTGCAGGAGCATGACCCCACTGCTGCAGGAGCATGACCCCACTTCTGCAGGAGCATGACCCCACTGCTGCAGGAGCATGACCCCACTGCTGCTGGAGCATGACCCCACTGCTGCTGGAGCATGACCCCACTGCTGCAGGAGCATGACCCCACTGCTGCAGGAGCATGACCCCACTGCTGCTGGAGCATGACCCCACTGCTGCTGGAGCATGACCTCACTGCTGCAGGAGCATGACCCCACTGCTGCAGGAGCATGACCCCACTGCTGCAGGAGCATGACCCCACTGCTGCAGGAGCATGACCCCACTGCTGCTGGAGCATGACCCCACTGCTGCAGGAGCATGACCCCACTGCTGTAGGAGCATGACCCCACTGCTGCTGGAGCATGACCTCACTGCTGCTGGAGCATGACCCCACTGCTGTAGGAGCATGACCCCACTGCTGTAGAAGCATGACCCCACTGCTGTAGGAGCATGACCCCACTGCTGTAGGAGCATGACCCCACTGCTGTAGGAGCATGACCCCTATCCCCACTGCTGCAGGATGTGTTTATTTTCAAATGCATCAATCTAAGTTTTCCGGATTGTTTAAAACATTATTTGATCCCTCTCTGATCCTCCTACAGCCTGCAGGTCTGTTTTTGTAGTTCCTTGGGTCAAAAAATAAGTTGGAAAAAATATGAATTTATATGTAAATCTTCCTCTGAGTGGGACAGCCTACAGTGGTTCGCCTCTGAGTGAGACAGCCTACAGTGGTTCTCCTCTGAGTGGGACAGCCTACAGCGGTTCTCCTCTGAGTGGGACAGCCTACAGTGGTTCTCCTCTGAGTGGGACAGCCTACAGTGGTTCTCCTCTGAGTGGGACAGCCTACAGCGGTTCTCCTCTGAGTGGGACAGCCTACAGCGGTTCTCCTCTGAGTGGGACAGCCTACAGCGGTTCTCCTCTGAGTGGGAGAGCCTACAGCGGTTCTCCTCTGAGTGGGACAGCCTACAGTGGTTCTCCTCTGAGTGGGACAGCCTACAGTGGTTCTCCTCTGAGTGAGACAGCCTACAGTGGTTCTCCTCTGAGTGGGACAGCCTACAGCGGTTCTCCTCTGAGTGGGACAGCCTACAGTGGTGCTCCTCTGAGTGGGACAGCCTACAGTGGTTCTCCTCTGAGTGGGACAGCCTACAGCGGTTCTCCTCTGAGTGGGACAGCCTACAGCGGTTCTCCTCTGAGTGGGACAGTCTACAGCGGTTCTCCTCTGAGTGGGAGAGCCTACAGCGGTTCTCCTCTGAGTGGGACAGCCTACAGTGGTTCTCCTCTGAGTGGGACAGCCTACAGTGGTTCTCCTCTGAGTGGGACAGCCTACAGTGGTTCTCCTCTGAGTGGGACAGCCTACAGTTGTTCTCCTCTGAGTGGGACAGCCTACAGTGGTTCTCCTCTGAGTGGGACAGCCTACAGTGGTTCTCCTCTGAGTGGGACAGCCTACAGTGGTTCTCCTCTGAGTGAGACAGCCTACAGTGGTTCTCCTCTGAGTGGGACAGCCTACAGTGGGTCTCCTCTGAGTGGGACAGGCTACAGTGGTTCTCCTCTGAGTGGGACAGCCTACAGTGGTTCTCCTCTGAGTGGGACAGCCTACAGTGGTTCTCCTCTGAGTGGGACAGTCTACAGTTGTTCTCCTCTGAGTGAGACAGCCTACAGTTCTTCTCCTCTGAGTGGGACAGCCTACAGTGGTTCTCCTCTGAGTGAGACAGCCTACAGTGGTTCTCCTCTGAGTGGGACCAGCTACAGTTCTTCTCCTCTGAGTGGGACAGCCTACAGTGGTTCTCCTCTGAGTGGGACAGCCTACAGTGGTTCTCCTCTGAGTGGGACAGCCTACAGTGGTTCTCCTCTGAGTGAGACAGCCTACAGTGGTTCTCCTCTGAGTGGGACAGCCTACAGTTCTTTCTCTCTGAGTGAGACAGCCTACAGTGGTTCTCCTCTGAGTGGGACAGTCCTACAGTGGTTCTCCTCTGAGTGAGACAGCCTACAGTGGTTCTCCTCTGAGTGAGACAGCCTACAGTGGTTCTCCTCTGAGTGGGACAGCCTACAGTGGTTCTCCTCTGAGTGGGACAGTCTACAGTGGTTCTCCTCTGAGTGGGACAGCCTACAGTGGTTCTCCTCTGAGTGGGACAGCCTACAGTGGTTCTCCTCTGAGTGGGACAGCCTACAGTGGTTCTCCTCTGAGTGGGACAGCCTACAGTGGTTCTCTTCTGAGTGAGACAGCCTACAGTGGTTCTCCTCTGAGTGGGACCAGCTACAGTTCTTCTCCTCTGAGTGGGACAGCCTACAGTTCTTCTCCTCTGAGTGGGACAGCCTACAGTGGTTCTCCTCTGAGTGGGACAGCCTACAGTGGTTCTCCTCTGAGTGGGACAGCCTACAGTGGTTCTCCTCTGAGTGGGACAGCCTACAGTGGTTCTCCTCTGAGTGGGACAGTCTACAGTTGTTCTCCTCTGAGTGGGACAGCCTACAGTGGTTCTCCTCTGAGTGAGACAGCCTACAGTTCTTCTCCTCTGAGTGGGACAGCCTACAGTGGTTCTCCTCTGAGTGGGACAGCCTACAGTGGTTCTCCTCTGAGTGGGACAGCCTACAGTGGTTCTCCTCTGAGTGGGACAGTCTACAGTTGTTCTCCTCTGAGTGGGACAGCCTACAGTGGTTCTCCTCTGAGTGAGACAGCCTACAGTTCTTCTCCTCTGAGTGGGACAGCCTACAGTGGTTCTCCTCTGAGTGAGACAGCCTACAGTGGTTCTCCTCTGAGTGGGACAGCCTACAGTGGTTCTCCTCTGAGTGGGACAGCCTACAGTGGTTCTCCTCTGAGTGGGACAGCCTACAGTGGTTCTCCTCTGAGTGGGACAGCCTACAGTGGTTCTCCTCTGAGTGGGACAGCCTACAGTGGTTCTCTTCTGAGTGAGACAGCCTACAGTGGTTCTCCTCTGAGTGGGACCAGCTACAGTTCTTCTCCTCTGAGTGGGACAGCCTACAGTTTTCTCCTCTGAGTGGGACAGCCTACAGTGGTTCTCCTCTGAGTGGGACAGCCTACAGTGGTTCTCCTCTGAGTGGGACAGCCTACAGTGGTTCTCCTCTGAGTGGGACAGTCTACAGTTGTTCTCCTCTGAGTGGGACAGCCTACAGTGGTTCTCCTCTGAGTGAGACAGCCTACAGTTCTTCTCCTCTGAGTGGGACAGCCTACAGTGGTTCTCCTCTGAGTGGGACAGCCTACAGTGGTTCTCCTCTGAGTGGGACAGCCTACAGTGGTTCTCCTCTGAGTGGGACAGTCTACAGTGGTTCTCCTCTGAGTGGGACAGCCTACAGTGGTTCTCCTCTGAGTGAGACAGCCTACAGTTCTTCTCCTCTGAGTGGGACAGCCTACAGTGGTTCTCCTCTGAGTGAGACAGCCTACAGTGGTTCTCCTCTGAGTGGGACAGCCTACAGTGGTTCTCCTCTGAGTGGGACAGCCTACAGTGGTTCTCCTCTGAGTGAGACAGCCTACAGTGGTTCTCCTCTGAGTGGGACAGCCTACAGTGGTGCTCCTCTGAGTGAGACAGCCTACAGTGGTTCTCCTCTGAGTGGGACAGCCTACAGTAGTCGATCCGCCCTCTCACTTCTCTGCCTCTGTTTAAAAATGATCTTATTTCTGCAGAAGCCTTCCCAGTGTTTGGAAGTGTTTATCTTCAATGATATGTATTTTTATTAACACTGGTCTTAATGACTGTAATCTGAAATGAAAATCATAATCACAACAATGTGTGTTTTCGTGTGTGTGTGTGTTTATATGTGTGTGTGTGTTTTATCTATTGCTTTTGAATTGTTCCCTCTGAATTATGTTATTATTTGTCTACTTTATCTGTCATTTTGTGTAATTTTGAGGCTTATCCTCCAAACAAATCCTTTAGTTAGTTAGTTAGTTAGTTTAGTTTAGTTTATTTGAGCAGTTAACATTTTTCTTCCTCCAATGTTTCACAATCATACAGTTAATGAAGCTCAAAGGGAGTAGACTGAAGCAAAAGCTTATAAGTGCCTACCCCTTGTTCATGTAAAATTACATTTGCAGTTAAAGATGATAAAGTTATACATTGCTTTTACATTTTTATCAAACAGAAAACAATCCTTCCTGAGTATTTTGTATTAGTTTCAAAACTATATACTTGTACATGTCTGTGAGTTAACGTTTATCCTACTATAGCTATACTTGTCAACATACAATCACCAGCCTTAGTTTACAATTTGCAGCACTGGCCAATAAAGAGGTTTTAGCATTTCACATTTGACAAATAACAATAGTTATAACTTATGGTTAATGTCATTGATCATAACAATTACAACAATTATCCTTCTTGTCATTACCAATGGATGAATATTCGTTTAGACTGCAGTGTGTATCAGAGTCAGTGTGGATTGAACCCAAAGCGACTCCAGTTTGTTTTCTGTAGAGGAACAATGTTGTGACACGAGTAGAGAAAGAAGACCTTTGTTTCCATTGAGGGAGAGTTGAAAAGATAACACTGTTTATAATTTAATTCTGTGATGTTTGTCTGAACTTGGATTAACCACAGACTCCTAAAGTGGAGGCGTGTGTGTGTGTGTTATACTCTGCGTTCCCGGCGCAAACAGCTGCACTGCTCTAATCACAGTGGGAAATCCATTTACAGGCCAAAAAAGAGAAGGAATGTAAACAGACAGCGGGAGGCGAAAGGTGACTTAACCTTGAGCCGCAGTAACGGGATGATGAACACCCGCCCGTCAGTCCCCAAAAAGGATTATCCCAGAGACTGCAGCTCCGCGCTCTGAGCCAAAGTCTGCTCTGTTTTTAACCACTCACCCCTTCATAAATACATCATCATTTACACCTGCAGCTATTCACCATTTGCTTTCAATTCTCTAAACTTCAGCCCATTTTGTTTAAATATAATGAATGTCAGAATGTGCAGAATAAAACCACATGTGTCCAGTCTCACTTTACTTTGTCCCAGACACAGATACACAGTAGTAAGTACAGATGTATCATTCCACTGTGTATGTAATGCACAAGAACATACAGTATTTTGTAGTTGATTCTTTATTAATCTAAAGTTATAGATGTTATTTTATCTTAATTTAGTGTAGAGTTATTGTTCATTCGTACTGTTCTGTAACGGGTGATGCAGCACTGTGGGAAGAATAAAGGATTTCTTTATCTTTCAGTTGAGTGTCACATGAGTAGAATTGGAAAAGTATGAGTTTATAAGAGTGTATAAGTTTAAATGGGAGTGACAGTTTATAAGAGTGTATAAGTTTAAATGGGAGTGACAGTTTATAAGAGTGTATAAGTTTAAATGGGAGTGACAGTTTATAAGAGTGTATAAGTTTAAATGGGAGTGACAGTTTATAAGAGTGTATACGTTTAAATGGGAGTGACAGTTTATAAGAGTGTATACGTTTAAATGGGAGTGACAGTTTATAAGAGTGTATAAGTTTAAATGGGAGTGACAGTTTATAAGAGTGTATAAGTTTAAATGGGAGTGACAGTTTATAAGAGTGTATAAGTTTAAATGGGAGTGACAGTTTATAAGAGTGTATAAGTTTAAATGGGAGTGACAGTTTATAAGAGTGTATAAGTTTAAATGGGAGTGACAGTGGAAGTGCAGAGGGATGGAAAGGTTGTGGGAATAATAACAAATAAACAGTGAGATAATAATTTTTTGCTGTAGCCCTAAATATTTGTGGCTTCATCTGTGGGAGCGAGAGGGTGAGAGGGCTGACCCACATATAATGGTAGTCCTGACAACAGCTGTGTGTGTGTGACTGTGTGTGTGTGTGTGTGTGTTTGAGTATACTTACGTGTGGACCTCCGGCTGCTCCATGAAGCGCTCCACACTGCAAACACAAACACAAACAATAACAACAGGCCTGGTGGGACTCCTGCAGCTCACCTCAGCTGCTCATGAGACACACACACACACACACACACACACACAGAAAGACACACACACAGACACACGCACAAAGAAAGACACCACGCTCACACACAGAAAGAGACTTACACATATACACACACACACATACTGAAAGACACACCGGCACACAGACACACACAAAAACACAGAGACACAGAGAGAGACACACACAGAGAGACACACAAAAACACAGAGACACAGAGACAGACACACACAGAGAGACACAGACACACACACACACAGAGACAAACAAAAACGCAGAGACACAGACACACACACACAGAGAGGCACACAAAAACACTGAGACACAGAGACAGACACACACAGAGAGAGACACAGAGACAGACACACAGAGACACACAAAAACACAGAGACACAGACACACACACACAGAGACAAACAAAAACACAGACACAGAGAGAGACACACAGAGATGCACACAAAAACACAGAGACACAGACACACACACACAGAGACAGACACACACAGAGATGCACGCAAAAACAGAGACAGAGAGAGACACACACACACAGAGACACAGACACACACACACACACAGAGAGACACACAAAAACACAGAGACACAGACACACACACAGAGAGAGACACACAAAAACACAGAGACACAGACACACACACACACAGAGAGAGAGACACACAAAAACACAGACAGAGAGAGAGACACACACACACACACACACAGCTTGCCTATTTTGCATCACAACATTGTCCACACACACCTTCTCGCCTTCACACTCAGTCATGTGACTCTCTGTAGCTGGAATGACATGTGGCAGCGCTGTCCATGGTCCTGATCTCATGTTTGCACAAATTGAAGCTAGATTCACACTTTTAGGATATGTTTCATTCATAGAAAAGAGATGAGTAAATGTATTGTTCACACTAAAGGGAAGATATTTAGTGTTTTTCATGTTTCCAGCACCTCCTCTGTTCATTAGAAGTTGCTAGAACATAACTGTTTTATACATTAGACAAGTTACAAGTATGCAACGGTGATGATTTGACGGAATGAGCTTTGGGGAAGTTTGTTACGTATTTTCAGATCCACATTTGATTCAGAGATTCTATTTTTTTTTTACACAAAGTAGAAACAAAGTGATAACTTCATATAGTTAACTAATTAAATGTGAACCAGACCAGATTTTTTTCTTTCTCAAGTTTAATTGTTGGAGAAAAATGGACGGAAACCATCACGTCAGTTACACATTTATCAAGAGTAATTTCATTTTTATTTTTAAATCAAGTGATTTACTGATGTTGTGTTAATGTTAATCTTGTGGGATTTCAGCTGCCGCTTTTTCAGACTGAGGACATTATGTTTTCTATGTAACTGAGTCACAGTAGAATGGTCCAATCAGAGGCTGATTGTCGTTTAAAATGTAAAAATATATTTGTCAATCTTTCCTTTTGATTTTATCCACACAATCTCTTCAAAGTGTCTGTGTTTGAAATCTATTTTCTAATCTATGAAAGTAATTTTAGTTTTTGTGTTAAAACCTTTTAAAGTCCAGATACTTTAATTGACACGTTACTGTGAACACACTCATGTATGTGTGTGTGTGTGTGTGCGTGTGTGTGTGTGTGTGTGCGTGTACATGTGTCTGTGTGTGTGTGTGCGTGTACATGTGTGTGTGTGTGTGTGTGAGTGCGTGTACATATGTGTGTACATGTATGTGTGTGGATCATGGACGTATATATTTTAGAATCAATGTGTGTTCTGTTTGTGTTGTACAGAACATGTGATAGTGGCACATTGACCGTTTGACCTGTGTGTAATACTACATCTCAGTGTGTGTGTGTGTACATGTGTGTGCCTACATGTGTGTGTGTACATGTGTGTGCCTACATGTGTGTGTGTACATGTGTGTGCCTACATGTGTGTGTGTACATGTGTGTACATGTGTGTGCCTACATGTGTGTGTGTAAATGTGTGCATGTGTGTGTGCGTACATGTATGTGTGTGTGTGTATATGTGTGCATGTGCAAGTACATGTGTATATATGTGCGTGTGTGTGTGAGTACATGTGTATATGTGTGTATATGTGCGTGTGTGTGTGTGTGTGTGTGTGTGACGGACAGGTCTTTCCCACACTCCCTGATCGCTGACACAGATGTGAGCAGACAGACACACAAAGCGTTGTTCCGTCAGAAACAAACTCTTGGACACAAGTGACATCACAACTTATCTTTACTGCACAGGCCGAGAAACTGTAGTTACTAACGAAGTACTGCACTGACAACGCAGTACTTTAAACTCGCAGTAATTTAAACTTGCAGTATTTTAAACTCACAGTACTTTTTAGTGTAGGAACAGTGGAGTGTGTGCGCGTGTATTAGTCTGTTGTGTGTTTGTGTGTGTGTATCTGTCTCTCTGTGTGTGTGTGCGTGTCTGTCTATGTCTCTGTGTGTGTCTATGTCTCAGTGTGTGTGTGTGTTAGTGTGTGTATCTGTCTCTGTGTGTGTGTGTTAGTGTGTGTTACTCACCTCTCCTTCAGGATGAACAGAGCTCCCAGCTGCACCAGCACCGTGGAGGCAAACACCGCCAACACTTCCAGCCGCTCAAACCTACACAGACCACATATGGTCAAGATCAAGACCAAGACCAGTCCCAGTCCTGGCCTTAAGGCCAAGACCAGGCTTGAAACTAATTGAAACCAGATCAGATTTAGAGTCAACTGGAGAATCAAGGGTTAGTCTACAACGACAATCAGCTCATGAAAGTGTTCAACACCAACATTTCAAACTTTCTCAAACTATTTTGTGACATAAAAGTCAGTGTGGTAAATAATTAGGAAGTGAGGGAGAAATTAAAATGCAATAAAACCTGACGGCCAAAACAATGATTTCTCTAACCCTAACCACCTCTGGTTCAAATCTTTAAGAGGCCCATTTTAGTTCAAATGGTCCAGGTCCAGACGACATGGATTCGGGCTGTTCATATTTGACAGAACTGATTAATAAGTGTTACGTAAGTCAACACCTGGATTCCAGAGACCCTGTGCTTTAAAACGAGGTATAACATGCTGAAGTTGTCAGAGGTGAAGTTGGCTGGATGACTATGTGAACTTGTTTTATGTCTTTATTTGGATGGGACAGTGCATACTCATGAAAAGCAGGAGTTGTAAATACACCAGATAGAAGCTAGTTTGCATCTGTAGTTCCACATTCAAACTCATTCGACCCTAAATTATAGTACATGTTTTTAGTGGTAGGGGAAACCGGAGCACCTGAAGGAAACCTACGCAGACAGAGAAAGAACATTTCCTCACAGAAAGGTCCTGGAGGTGGAATCAAACCCAGGACCAGGTGCTATTACCTGCGGCACCGTGTTTATGGTTACTTTGGGAAGCAAGGCCAAAGGTCACATACAATTACACAGAGAGCCTTCATTGGCGACAATTTTATTTTCTCCCAATTTGTACAGGACACTCCGGGGACACTCCGGGAACGCTCCGGGAACGCTCCGGGAACGCTCCGGGAACGCTCCGGGAACGCTCCGGGAACGCTCCGGGAACGCTCCGGGAACGCTCCGGGAACGCTCCGGGAACGCTCCGGGAACGCTCCGGGAACACTCCGGGAACGCTCCGGGAACACTCCGGGAACACTCCGGGAACACTCCGGGAACACTCCGGGAACACTCCGGGAACACTCCGGGAACACTCCGGGAACACTCCGGGAACACTCCGGGAACACTCCGGACCGCTGTATACAACAGTGTGTTCCAGTTCCTGCCATTATCCAGAAACGTTGTCTGTGTAGAGTCCAGTATCATTCCACTCTGATCTATGTGATATGGATATGGAACAGCAGCTGAAAAACTTCCAACCTGCGTCAGAGAAAAGACCTCTTGTGGCCCGGGAAAAATACACAAATGAGATAGAGGATGCTAAGAGGACCTGTGAACACACAGAGCTGAGGAAGCAGACAAAGCTGAAAGACCAGGTGATCACCAATATAACAGAAACCAAAGAGAAGCCGAAGGAGCAAATTATGGCAAATAACGAGAAAGAGTTGGAAGAGTGTACGGCAAATCTCCTCACGAAAAAACTCTTATTGTGGAGATGGAGGCGGAGAACTCAAAACTCAAAGCAGAGAATTGACAGGTACAGAGGCAATGCAATATCTGGGTTCAGGAGGCATAGGTAGGCTCCAACAAGACGATAGAAGAGTTGAAGGCTAAGATATTGTGCCTGGAAAAGCAATCCGAACACATGACGATAAAATGGGAGGAAGAACGCAAAGAGGTGCAAGGATTAAACTAAGTCATCAGGAAAAGATGCCGCCGTCTGCTCGGGAGCTGCCCATCGCGGCCGGGCGGGGAGTCGGACACCACGGAGAGAGCCACGGATGTGCTGGAATTTGGCTCCTCCATCTATCTATCACAGATCAGCAGCATTATAATAAACAGTGTATATGTTTCTTTGTTTTGTTCAGCATTTAGAGACTAACACAAAACAAAGCAGCCATAAAAAGTGAACCCCTTTATAGCGAGGGACTGTACACACGGAAATGTAAAATGAGACGTAATGAAACATGTCTTGATATGAAGCTTTTGTGTGGTGCGTTCAGGGTCCTTTAACTTGTGTGGGGAATGTGATACTGACACTGGAACAGCGCCACCAGCAGCTGGTCCTCTTTCACTGCAGGCGGAGTGCGCCCCATGTGTATCTAAACGTACTCCCTCCTCACAGATGCCACAAACAAACTATAAAAACTCTGGACACAACATGCTTCTGTCTGCTGTGGTGAGAAACACACACACACACACAGGCGCACACAGGCGCACACATACATACACACTAACACACACACCGGCGCACACACACACAGGCATATACACACATACATTTACACACACACACACACACACACAGGCATATACACACGCACACACACAGGCATATACACACACACACACAAACTCACAGGCATGAGCATAAACAAACTCAAAAGTATACGCACACACACAGGCAGACACACACACAGGCATATACACACACACACACAGGCAGACACACACACACACACACACAGGCGCACAAATACATATACACACACACACACACACACACACAAACTCACAGGCATAAGCATAAACTCAAAAGCATACGCACACACAGGCTCACACACACACACACACACACAGGTGGACGCCTGGCCCTGTAACTGCCCTCATGACTGAGGTAAGAGGTCAGCAGTGTGTGAGCCAATCCCTGGTCATGAGTAGGTTAGTATGGGATGAGTACCAACAGTGATCCAATGGACCCCATAATGCTTTGTGTCCTTGTGTGTGTACGTGTGTGTTTGTGTGTGTGTTATGGATTACTGTAAATGAAATCTATAGGGTTTCAAGAGGACCTGTTACAGAACATGTGTGTTGAAGAATATCTGGGAAAACAAACAGCAGAAAGACTCGTAATGAGCACTGTGAGCAAAGGTTCAGAGCAGCACATTCTCTGCGGAAAGAAGACCAGAAACTAAAATCTGCAGCTTTCAAATCAAATGGATTTTTTCTACGATGTCCTGAAAAAGTATCTGAAGCGTTTGGAAATATTCTAATTTCTGTCTTAAAACCACCATCCGAGTGATCTTTCTCAAACTATGACAACTTAATCTTAATGATGCTAAAGTTAGAGATTATATATCACTTTAGTACAGAGTTATTGTTCATTTATCTTCCTCATTTCATCTTTTTATCTTAATCCTAAATGTTTGGTAGTTTAACTTTAAGCAGACATTGTTTTTTTTACTCTGTGATTTTGAAAAAGATTATATTGGATGGTAATTTTATGCAGAAATGAGAGAAATTCCAGCTGCTTTAGACACTTTTCCAGAGTTTGCCGTTTAAAAAGAAAGGTTCCTGGTAGGGCTGGGACAACGCGTCGACGTAATCGGTGACGTCGACGCAATCGGTGACGTCGACGCAAAAAATACATCGACGTATAATATGCGCGTCGGTGCGTCGCACACAAAACAAAGATGGCGGCGAGCGGTAGCAATGCGAGTGCCGTGTTAGAGAAGTGCAAGCCGGTGTAACGCCGAGATACACTGTCTTGAAGAGATGCACTGCCTCAGCTGTTTATGATGTAATGCAAACCTGCGCATGCGCGTCTCACGGCAGCCGAAGCATACCAAGATGGCGGACCGTGAATTGCTTTAAAAGTTGAAATACGAACGAATTAAGACACGAATGTCACTTTTAATGCAATTTGAGGCGAGATGTTGATGGTTCCGTTTTGTCACATGTGGGTTTTAAGAGTCAAAGTTCATCTACAGAATCATCATCCATTCAAATTATACAATCACCTTACCAACAGAAAAATGGGAAACAGACCTTGGAATTGCCCCTGATGCCAGCTTCTGGACCCAAATATGTAACAACATCTACAACATGTCTGACAACGCAAACCTTCACCTGATACAGTACAAAATATTACACAGAACACATCTCACCGGACAGAAAATGTCAAAATTCAGCTCATGTACAGACAAATGCACCAACTGCACACAAAACTCAACTGACACGCACATACATGCTTTTTGGCTCTGCCCCCCTGTTCTTCAATTCTGGAAAGAAGTGACAGAAACCCTCTCAACCATTATGGACCACTGCATCCCCCACAGCCCTTTACACTGTCTACTCGGCGACACATCCACTCTAACCTTAGACCCAGCAGACCAACAACTTACCCTGATAGCACTAACAATTGCAAAAAAAACAATACTCCTCAACTGGAAAAAAAAAATCAAAGTCAACACTTCACAGTGGAAAGATCTCCTCCTAGAACACTTATCCTTTGAACAAACATCCACCAATCACAGAATTACTGAAACACCCAGCAACTGGAACAAACTCATACTTTATCTTACAAATTAACTAATTGCATTGTCACTGTTATTATTATTGTTACGATAATTTGAATTGTTATGATTATTATTATTACTTTTATTTTTTATTTTCTATTTTTATTTTAATGTTAATTTAGTTTTCATATTATTATTATATATTATTGTTATAATGATTAGTATTGTGGATTTATCTTATTTTTTTCTCTCTTTATTTTTGGTCACTTGTGTTATTATTTTTATTGTTTTTTTATTTTATTATTATTATTATTATTTTTTTTTTTTTTTTTTTTATTTTTTCGTATAGTTTCTGCTTAACTATTAATATTATAAATTATATAATTAGTATTTACACATACAAGATATATCATATTTGAATATGTAGAATAAGCAATGGGGAACGGTGATGGTGAGGAAGCAACAATAATAAGTAATATTGTTTAATTTAATTAATACACATTGTATGATAAATATATGGACTCCTCCCACAAGCATCCCAGGCACATGCCTTTTTAATGCACAACACCTCACGCAGATATTTTTCTTTTTAATACACCACACAATCACAGACAAACTATTGAGGAAAGCTGTCGGAAGAGTGCCAGTAATAATGCTACTGTTAAGGACGCTAGTATGGTCATAATTATGATCTTCATCATCGCCATTGTCGCTATTGCTGTTATAAAAAAAAAAAAAAAAAAAAAAAAAAAAAAGAGGTTTTGTATATATATATTTTAATTGTCTTTGTTTTTTTTTTGTTTTTTGTTTTTTCTATTATAAAAATATAAAGTAAATAATAAGAGTCAAAGTTTCGTGCAAAGTTTAGTTTAAGCAGTCAACTGCGCCTGTGAAACCACAAAGCTAATGTTTTCATAGCAGTCCGCGGCTGCTGACGTAGGCTGATGACGCGTCCTGTGGCCACTCTGCAGCTTACAACTAGTCTGTCTTTCTTTGTATCAAACGGAATATTGGCGCCCGTAATAGCCCCTACATGTATTATTCACTGTCATGCCCGCCGAATATGGACATTTTTCAACATGTGTTCAATATCCTTAATGTGTTTAACTGTTGATTGATTCTCTGATCTGTGTTGGTGACTTCAATGTTGTTTTAAGTCCTCTGAGATGACTTCTACTGTATTCTTTCAGTAACTCTAAAAGAAAGGATGACTGGTTGACCTTTTTATTTGCTACACAATGCATTGTTTTTCTCTTGTACACTCTTAGGCTGAGTTTACACGGAGACAATGTGGCAGTAAAACGGTATAGTTGGATGTCGGTTGCTACCAACCGTTCATACGAAGACTGTGTTCCAGGGGGGTGAAAACGTAAGTGTTCAGATCCAGCCTGCAGAGTGGGACAACTCAGAAACGCTGCACAGCAGGGAGCTTTTTCACACCCGCGAGAGGGGAAAGGTGTGAAATCCCCCTCTGCTCTGACCCCCGCCTCCTGCTGCTCCCGCACGTAAATTTGGACATGCGCAGTAGCGGAGAACAAACATCAACAACAATGGCGCTGCCCGCACAAACTAGCTACGTGGGCTTCCAGCGCGGGACAGAGGATAATTCTACTCCTTCGTTCGTCCAAACGAGACCACGCGAAGCTCTAGGTTCAGTTTCCATTTTCACAGCTGCTGTTAAAATGCAGATAGATGTTGGTGCGTTCTGAGGGTCTGGCACAGGAAGTGAGTACACTGCCGAGAGGGGGGCTGGGCACGGGGCTCGGGGTCGTGTGTCGTGTTGTAAAGTTTATCTGCCCACTACTGGCCGGGCGCTAGAACTACATCGTTTTTCAACCTCATGTGAACGCTGAGAAATTTGCATTAGGAGCCAGGTCGTTTCTGTTAATAGCCTGGAAACGTCTGCGCAGCGTCTCAGTATAAACAGGGCCTTACTTGAATTTTATTTTTGAATTTTGAGTTTAAGAAAAAGGTGAGTGGCAGAGTTTTGACTGTTATTTTTATATGAATGAAGAATTTAAGAGATGCACTTTAATTAATGGACTTCAGTAATATAGGCCTATGTGTCTTCAACTTAAATGTTAAACTCTGTTGGTTCAGGAAGGACGCCATGACAGGCTGATGGCTCCCACTGTTTTTGCTGGAAAAGCACTCTTTGTTTAGCTTAAAGCCTTCAAGTTTACATTCCTATTTGGCTGAACTTTTTCATGTTTTTATTGAATGCTAAGCATCAAATGTTTGTTTCAAGAATGATAAGATGCACTTTTTTCAGTAAGCTGTGTTTTCAAGGCTTTAAGGTTTTATGCTACCTCTAAGAATGTCTTATTTTTGAATTTTAAGAGCAAGCAATAAATATTTTTTGTGAAGGAATTCATGTTTTTTTCATTAAAATATTTAAATCAACATGTATACATCAATATTAGTCAATTAATGGGGAGATAATCGAGAATCGAATCGAATCAAAATCGAATCGAAGCGAAAAAAATAATCGTTAGATTAATCGATGCATCGAAAAAATAATCGCTAGATTAATCGTTTAAAAAATAATCGTTTATCCCAGCCCTAGTTCCTGGGATTATGGAGAGCGCCAAAACCAACTCACAATAATGTGTGCTTTAAGACAATACCCTAATTATTGTTGATTACTTTTCCATGACTTGAGCAGCCCCAGGGTCATTTACACCCCTTTAGACCATAATTAAGGGCATTTTTCTTCAACTTTAAATCACTGTGGCTCAAGGACCGCACAAGGGTTCAACAGAAAGAAGATGTTGTGCCAGAAGTTCCTGAAAAGAGCACGGACAGAGCCAAAACCGAGTCATAATAAGGGACAGCAGAGAGACGGCAGAGAGACAGCAGAGAGACAGCAGAGAGACAGCAGAGAGACAGCACAGGGACAGCACAGGGACAGCACAGGGACAACACAGGGACAGCACAGAGTCAGCACAGGGACAGCACAAGGACAGCACAGGGACAGCACAGAGTCAGCACAGGGACAGCACAGAGTCAGCACAGGGACAGCACAGGGACAGCACAGAGTCAGCACAGGGACAGCACAGAGTCAGCACAGGGACAGCACAGGGTCAGCACAGGGACAGCACAGGGACAGCACAGAGTCAGCACAGGGACAGCACAGGGACAGCACAGGGACAGCACAGAGTCAGCACAGGGACAGCACAGGGACAGCACAGGGACAGCACAGGGACAGCACAGGGACAGCACAGAGTCAGCACAGGGACAGCACAGGGACAGCGCAGGGACAGCGCAGGGACAGCACAGGGACATACAGAGCTGTGTATAGATCCAGCACATGACCGCTCCCAAACCTATTATGCTTTCTGGCCAACTGAAGCTAAACAAGAGATTTGCACTGGCTCATCGCGGCTCCACGCCTCTAGGTCGCCGGGTCAAACACAAATACACTGTTGGCCAGTTGTTTCCCTTTCAGTGCACACACAAACACACACAAACACAACCACACACAAAACACACACAGAGAAGTCAGAGCGGACTGAGGCTACTGCTTGGTGCTGGGATTCCTCAAAAGTATAATGCGGTTCGAGGTTGTTCAAAATGAGATCCAACAAACACATGAAGCAGCGGCCTCAGACACAACTGGGACCTTTAAGAAAACATTTATAGAGTTTTAAACATTGTCAACGGGTCATGGTCCGAGTCCGTGAGATGATAAAGATTGCCTACTTTTACCCAATGAGCAAACCAATTATAATACACATCAAAAATTACACACACACACAGGCGCACACAAACACACACACACACTTTGAAATGAGGGAGTAATGCTTCCGTCAACAAAAAGTTCAAAGACACTTGTTTAATTCTTTACTTTTGAACTTATGTGAAAGTCAGCCATGTTCAAACAAAGGGCCGTGGCATTCAGCTACTTTCAGTGTCATCCAGCCAACTTCAGCTCCACCAGTTCAGTCTTGTTGTAGAGCACAGAACCTTTAGAATAAAGTCTTTAACTCTATTTGTAATTTTGTCACAGAAGTTCACGTATGGAATCCCTGTAGCTGTGACGTGAATCCTTATGGAACAGTATTGTCCACAGACCTGGGCAAAGTTTTGGCTAAATTAAGTTAAATTAAACTTTAACGACATAAAAACCGGCTACGGCCTTCAACAATATCCAAATGAGGCCCCACTAAGTGCCCACCACTGGTTTATGCTCTTGGCCCCTATACCAGTCAGGTGAACTAAAATAGCCTCTTACTCTGTGCCCCAGGGCAGCTGCGGCTACAGTAGTAGTTCATCACCACCGTGTTTGGAGTGAAAGAATAATGACAGTGAAGCGTCCAACAAAGCTCTATATAAACCCAATGCATTATTACTATTATCATTTCCAGAAAGTTTGGACCTGGTATAAGTCACTGTCTTTGGGTTGAAGGGAATTCTTTTAAATAATGATAATATTAAAAATCTTACAGTAGTTACACTCACAACAACTATTCAGACTTTATGAGGACTTTGAATGAAGAAGTGTCTAACGTGGCCATTCAAGGACGGCCGAGGTGTTTACCTGCTGCCAGAGAAACTCACCCAAAGGAGTAGACTTGACTGGGCTTCTTCATGCTGACCCAGGAGCTGATCAGACAGGTGATCAAACTGTGGGGCGCGGACGGACGCAGTGAGGACAAGGTGTGGACGAGGTGAGGACAGAGGGAGATGGACAGAAGGACAGAAAAGAGGAGATCGGTGAGTGACAGCGAGCCATCAGCAACACAAACAGCCCCAGGTCAGCCACAGTTCAACCCCACGGACACACACACAAACAGCCCCAGGTCACCCACAGTTCAACCCCACGGACACGGACACACACACTCATACACACACACGCACACACAAACACAGACATACACACACAGCCCCAGGTCAGCCACAGTTCAACCCCACAGATATATACACACTCACACACACACAGACACAAACACACACAGTTTTAAAAGTGAATTTATTATTCAAATAATAATTGATCAGAGTGAAGGCGAGGACTCACCTGAACAGGTCAAAGATGGTGAGGTAGGTGTAGGCTGTTAGGGCTGCGGAGACAAACAGGAACCTATGTTACACAGATACAGAGTGTGTGTACAAGTACAGTGTGTGTGTACAGGTACAGTGTGTGAGTGAGTGAGTGTACAGGTAGTGTGTGTACAAGTACAGTGTGTGAGTGTGTGTACAGGTACAGTGTGTGTGAGACAGGAGACAGGCCTCCTCTCTGACAATGTTTAAAACCAGGTTAAAGACAGTTCTGTTTAACTGTGCTACAACTGAGGGATTTTATATTTTTATCTTTCTTTTTTTCTTTTTTCTGTGATTATTTATGATTTTAATGCTTTCTTGTTTTGTTCAGCACTTTGAGTTGCCTTGTGTATGAATTGTGCTATATAAATAAACTTGCCTTGCCTTGTGTGTGTACAGAGACAGTGTGTATACTGGTACAGTGTGTGTGTGTGTGTACAGAGACAGTGTGTATACCGGTACAGTGTGTGTGTGTGTACAGAGACAGTGTGTATACTGGTACAGAGTGTGTGTATATTGTATTGTGGAAAAGTAAGTAGTGCAGAGAGTTGAGCTCATGGCACAATCACGGGCATGAAACCAGCGTCCCCATAAGACAAATAAATCCATAAACTACATTAAATGTCTGAGCAGAGGATTGTGCACATAATCAACTATAAATATAATGTGGATATTGTAAAGACCCTCGCTGCTAGTGTCCTGTGACCCCACTTTGGGACTGACTGCTTTGAAACCCAATGGGACTGAGGTAAACACTGTTCCTCTGCTTCTATAGTACATGGAGTAAAACATAGGTTTCTATCCGTTTGTGCTGCACCTGAGCCAGGATCAGAACAGGATCAGCTGCTGCAGCAGGAGCAGCTCTGAGGTGAGGTCGCCCCTGCTGTCGGGGACGGAGAGTGCGGCTCAGTCCCTGATCTATATAAATCCATGCCCCGTCAGATCACTGTTTAAAACACATTTGTCACGTTGCCAAATATACAGTCTAACCTCTTTAGTGTAATTACAGAGCGGTTCAGCATGATGCCGATGAGCCCAAAGCCGGGGCATCAGGTCAGAAAGTCATTCAGGCCATTTAGACATCTGTCCACCACTCACTCCTCTATTTACACCAGGGGTCAAACCCAGGCCAAACTGGGAATGTATATTATATTGAAAGTATAATGTGTTATTACCACCGACACAGTGAATACAGGTCCCGTACATTGTATTCTCCTCATGTTGACTTCTGCACCAAAGCTGGGCCCAAAAGTCCTTGCATTTTACACATCACGTACTGTACTTATGTGATGCATCATTTTAAAGCAAAGAGTTCTAGTTTATAAAAATATATACTATCATTCACTCTGCATCCTTTGAAGTTTGGGGAAAGAAAATTAAGCCTTGTCTAAAATATTAAATATATAAAGACCCAAGCAAAAACATACTTTATCGTAATGTTGCAGAATGTAACATTCTGTAAAAGAAAACTTCAATTACAGCCCAAGTCCAAAGGTAAGAAATGTTATAAGTAATGTTTGTTTTTGTGTCCATATTATGCTTTATATCTTTTTTAGTGTAAAGACTGGTATTATTTATTTGATAGGGACAATGCACATTAATCAACATCAGTATAAAACGAATGTAAATATGCCGGATTATAGCTACCAAGCTAGTTTTCATCCGTAGTCGCTAGCATTGCTTGCACTTGTTAGAAATGTGATATACTGCTGGTGGGTTTTGAAGTCCAAAACAAATGTGCTTTGACAAGATGAACTCTGTGGGTGTTAATTACTTCCTTTTATGAACAATATTCGAAAACAGGGGTATCCAAACTATTTCACATTAATGTTCTGAGCAAAACCTTTTCATGGTTTGCTTCAAGAGTTTTGTTTGAGGTTAAACACTGAAGAGGCCAGTTTGAGCAAGGTTGACCCGGCCACGGAGCGTGATTATTCAGGTCACAGTAACAGATTATGGGAAGAAAATGTAATCTTTTTTTATATAGAGCTATTTTGGACACTCAAAGACGCCACATGGTATTATTCTTTCAGTCCAAACACGGTGGTGATAAACTAGTACTAGTGTCTTGCCTAAGGACACAACTACAGTTTGGCACTTTAAATCCGCCCCACTGTGGCACCTGGTGTTCCCAGAGGTCTCCCATCACAGTACTAACCAGTCCCTGCCTTGCTTAGCTTCAGAGGTCTGACAGGATCTGGCTTTCAGCTGCCGATATTACAGGAAATGTGTGATTAGATCACATTATCTTTTGTGTTCTTGCTTCTCTTTGGGCTGGGAGCAAAATGGTCATAAAAATATATGTATTATTTAAGATCAGACCCGCCCATCAGACCAGATCATCAGACCAGATCATCAGACCCGCCCATCAGACCAGATCATCAGACCAGATCATCAGACCCGCCCATCAGACCAGATCATCAGACCAGATCATCAGACCAGATCATCAGACCCTCTCATCAGACCAGATCATCAGACCCTCTCATCAGACCCGCCCATCAGACCAGATCATCAGACCAGATCATCAGACCCTCTCATCAGACCCGCCCATCAAACTAGATCATCAGACCCGCCCATCAGACCAGATCATCAGACCCGCCCATCAGACCAGATCATCAGACCAGACCATCAGACCCGCTCATCAGACCAGATCATCAGACCCTCTCATCAGACTAGATCATCAGACCCTCTCATCAGACCAGATCATCAGACCCTCCCATCAGACCCACCCATCAGACCCGCCCATCAGACCCGCTCATCAGACCCTCTCATCAGACCCTCTCATCAGACCCTCTCATCAGACCCTCTCATCAGACCCTCTCATCAGACCCTCTCATCAGACCTTCTCATCAGACCCTCTCATCAGACCCTCTCATCAGACCTTCTCATCAGACCCTCTCATCAGACCCTCTCATCAGACCCTCTCATGAGACCTTCTCATCAGACCCTCTCATCAGACCCTCTCATCAGACCCTCTCAGACCCTCTCATCAGACCTTCTCATCAGACCCTCTCATCAGACCTTCTCATCAGACCCTCTCATCAGACCTTCTCATCAGACCCTCTCATCAGACCCTCTCATCAGACCCGCTCATCAGACCCTCTCATCAGACCCTCTCATCAGACCCTCTCATCAGACCTTCTCATCAGACCCTCTCATCAGACCCTCTCATCAGACCCTCTCATCAGACCTTCTCATCAGACCCTCTCATCAGACCCGCTCATCAGACCCTCTCATCAGACCCTCTCATCAGACCCTCTCATCAGACCCGCTCATCAGACCCGCTCATCAGACCTTCTCATCAGACCCTCTCATCAGACCCTCTCATCAGACCTTCATCAGACCCTCTCATCAGACCCTCTCATCAGACCTTCTCATCAGACCCTCTCATCAGACCCTCTCATCAGACCCTCTCATGAGACCTCATCAGACCCTCTCATCAGACCCTCTCATCAGACCCTCTCATCAGACCTTCTCATCAGACCCTCTCATCAGACCTTCTCATCAGACCTTCTCATCAGACCCTCTCATCAGACCCTCTCATCAGACCCGCTCATCAGACCCGCTCATCAGACCCTCTCATCAGACCCTCTCATCAGACCCTCTCATCAGACCCTCTCATCAGACCCTCTCATCAGACCCTCTCATCAGACCCGCCCATCAGACCCGCTCATCAGACCCGCTCATCAGACCAGCTCATCAGACCAGCTCATCAGACCCTCTCATCAGACCCGCTCTGTGGACTCAGCTGCACCGGGGGCGAGCAGAGCGGATTAGCGAGGCTTTGTGCTCAGAGGAACATTTTGTTTCCCCACCAGCTCCGCTCCATGTTGGCCAACCTGAGGCTGTGTAATCCTGTCAGCCCACGGAGGGGGGCGAGGTCAGGGGGGGAGTGGGGGTGGGGGGATGTAGACGGACAGGTGAAGACAGGGCAGACAGGGAGTGAATGAAAGAGAGGCAGTGGCCATCACGGAGACTAAACACTTTGAGTTTGAGACTTTATTCACAGACAGCAGTTGTAAAAGGAATGTCAGTCTTTTTAGCATCAACAGGAGGGAGTCTGGTTTCACTCTGGGCACTTTTATCATGTATTCCAATGGGATTTTACTCCAATCGGCAAATTAAATTCAAATACATTTTAACTGCCCCCATATAAACCATTAGGATTCTCCCACCACCAACCATTCACACACCAGACTCATTCTAATGTGGGGGAAGTGTCTTGCCTAAGGACACAACCACAGTTTGGCACTTTACAGCCGCCCCACTGTGGCACCTGGTTTTCACAGAGGTCTCCCATCACAGCACTAACCCTGCTTTTTTGTTCCGTTTTCATTTATGGACATTGGTCTATGCGACTTATGGACTGATGGCTCTATGTGTTTTATATTATTGTATTTCTTGTGTTTGATTCTCAGATCTGTGACGGCGAACCAACGGTTTTGTAAAGTCCTCTGAGAAACTGCTGTTGTGATTCAAGGCTATACAAGATTACATTGAATGGTTGAGTGTGTGCATATTCAGATTGAGGTGAAGCATATTTCTGGACGCGGCCTCTCTATGGGTTAAACTCCCCGTGTTTTCATCGCTCTCTGGCTTTTGTTTGGATGTTTGTTCTGATCCGGGCTGCAGTTATTTTGATCCGCGGCGGCTCGTCTTCCCGCGCGATCGATGCGTCTTGATGTTGGGCTGTTGTGTCGAATTAAAAGCTGCGGACGATAAAAGCAATAATAATACAGAGGCTGAGATCACAGTGACCCCTGAGAGCGAGGGCAGTCCGGAGGCGATCGATGGGAGCTGAAGTTTCCTCTGGCTGAGCGCGGATAGGTTTACCCACACACGGATCGGTATATGTCGAGGCTAGCACCAGCAGCGGTATCGGGATGCTTCAGGAATGTGCTGCTTACAAACACTGACACCCGGAGGACGAGTGAGCGAGATACGAGCCGCGGTCATCAGTCATGTCTGCAGGACACGGGACACACTAACAGGACACCGCCCCAGATGAGACAATCCCATGGAAGAGGAGGAAAAGGCCTTTCATTTAACCAAGCGACTGATTCAGAACGCTCTGCATAAAACTGAATATTCTCACGATTACATTCATGGAAACAATGCAATTAGAGTACAACTAAACTTTCTAAATAGTTTCACATAATGCTTTAGAGCAACTTCCAGGTCAATCTTGCCAACCATATTTACAGCACTATGATTTTAAGATCGTGCCAAAAAGTGTGTCTTCCGTGGGTCTGACTCCTGCAGTGTGTGGAGGTTTCGAGCCACGATTATCTCACCTTGAGCTCACGACACTAGAAGTTCTTCTCTGATAATAAAGGTATCGCTTATGCTAACGATAATGGTTCGTTATGTTTTTGGAGTGCACACACAGCACAGAAGACAGCGGCTTCACACAAGCCAGAGCAACACCCGCTTTATCTTACCCATCTCTACAATGCACTGGAAACAGCAGCAAGTCCTAAGTGTCTCTGAAATAGGTGTTCTGTGTTTTACAATTGTTCTGTTTCTTTTTCATGCTGAGATGTTGCACAGGATTCATGGTCCGAACCAAGTGGATCAGGCAAAAATCAACTGGCGGAATGTTAACTTTATGAAAAACCTTAATGAAGCATTTAGCATTTCACTTTGGACCAGAGCAGAGAAAATGGTCCGAACCAAGTGGCTCCACCTCTACTGCTGTGACCTGAAGGACTGTTGTATTTTAATACTATTGTTAGATTTTTAGAATGATCTATTTTATTTTTCTATTTGGTGTCTTTGTGCTTATAAGAGCTACTCCCCATTGCTCCCATGTCCAATCAATTGATTTTCTAATCTGCTGATGGTGAATCCAAAATTCTGTGACACCCTTCAAGCAGACTTCTTCTCTGTTTTTATTTTATTTTATTCAGGATATGTATCTGCAAACAAGCTGCAGAAGACGATGTGACCGTCTCCCGTGGACTGCCATCTTACTTTGGTCAAGAGTAGAGATCTATAAGCCAGTGTTTCCCAACCCTTTTGCAGCCGTGGTCCACCTTTTTGGTTGACAACACTCACATGGCACTACCAGCTGAAACTGATGCAAACGTGAAACTTTGCATAATTTAGTATTAAAGCAAAGTCATTCTAATCAAAGCAGATACTATTCATATGGAAAATGAAACTAGCGCAAATTATGGCGGCACGGTGGCTGAGTGGATAGCACTCTTGCCTCTCAGCAAGAAGGTCCTGGGTTCGAATCCCGGTCGGACCAGGGCCTTTCTGAGTGGAGTTTGCATGTTCTCCCCGTGTCTGCGTAGGTTTCCTCCGGGTACTCCGGTTTCCCCTACCACTAAAAATATGTCCAATAGTTCTAGCATGCGCCTCCTGTACTGGCGACCCCGCTCCCATCTCTGTGTGGAGTGAGAGACTAATGCACAAAAAATTAACAATTGTAAACCGCTTTGAGACTCAGATCTGCAGTGAAAAGGCGGTATATAAATAAATACTTACTTACTACTACTTACTTACTTACTTATCTTCTCACATTATTTTGACCAAGTACATGATATTGGAACATTTCCCAAGGCACACCAAGCAACATCTCAAGACACACTAATGTACCACAGCCCACAGGTTGAAAAACACTGCTATAAGCTGTATGCCCCTGTACAGTCATGGCAAACACACAGTAGGTGACGAGGGTTCCATGGAGGTCAGGTACTCTCTGTAACAAAGTCAGCAGACCCGTTTCTATCGTTTGTGGAACTAAGTACAAAGACAAATACTATACTCCAGGTATCATAAAGCAGACTGCAGTGAGAGCATTAATCTATGTTCAGTAATGTGATGGCCCTTTCACTCAAGATGTGAACCCACAGACCCAGAAGTAATGCACATGGCCTTGGTAAAGCACCAGAGTGAGAGCGGTGAACAAAGTTGAGCGTACAAGTTCACATGCACATTTAACAGGGTTTAGGGGGGGCATGAGGGCAGGGCACAGCGGTGGAGACAGATGAGAGAGGGGAATATGAGAGGGGCATCCATTATTCATGCAGTCTGCAGAAGGAGCAGCCCCAACACTCACTGCAGCCAGGCACAACTTCTGACAAGCTTCACACAAACTAGTGAAAGAACAAGACGCTTTTCATGAAGATGTGGGAAACCATTATCACCGTTTTAGTGGTTCAGGTTGCTAGTTCTCGGTCTGAGTCTCCCACAGTCGAATATTGGGCTAAAAAGCAGTGGGACTGGATCGACCCGGTGAGAGTTTGTGTTTGAGTCTGATGAGTTACTTGTTCCGTAAGCTCTTTGCACAAAAGTGACTCAAGATGGAATACCCCTGCGGCAACCAATCATCTCTCAGCCTAAAGAGACACACCACGCTTCCTTTCAAGTATGCAGAGGTAGTAATGGTAGTAGGAGTGGTAGTTTATAAACTTGTAGAAAAAAGACAAAAAATAAACAGAATGCAAAAAAATATAATGAGCAATAGTTTGAAAAGGGGGTGGACAAAGTAGATGCTTGTTTAGTTAGCAAGGAAAAACTCAACAGAACAAAAAAACAGCGGGAAAAAAGTAAAAATCCCAGGACTGAGGCTATAGACCCAGGACTGAGGCTATAGACCCAGGACTGAGGCTATAGACCCAGGACTGAGGCAGTAGACCCAGGACTGAGGCAGTAGACCCAGGACTGAGACTGTAGACCCAGGACTGAGACTGTAGACCCAGGACTGAGACTGTAGACCCAGGACTGAGACTGTAGACCCAGGACTGAGACTGTAGACCCAGGACTGAGACTGTAGACCCAGGACTGAGGCTGTAGACCCAGGACTGAGGCTGTAGACCCAGGACGGAGGCTGTAGACCCAGGACTGAGGCTGTAGACCCAGGACTGAGGCTGTAGACCCAGGACTGAGGCTGTAGACCCAGGACGGAGGCTGTAGACCAAGGACGGAGGCTGTAGACCAAGGAATCATGCGACAGTGGTACAAACTTACTGCATGCTTTGCTCAACTTGCTGATGAAATATACTTGACAGTATTATTTTTAAAATGATGGCTGTGGTTTACCAAAAGCTAAAATCTCCCAAACTGGTGAGAATTTGACCTCAAGCTGACGTAGGGAAATGTCTGTTGTGGATGTGGGGAGGGCGATGTCTTTCAAAGCGATCGTCTTTCCAACCCGATTAATGAGCTGTAATATCAGAAAACATGGAGCGGGTCGTTTAGTGTTTCAGCGTTTCAAACTTGTGTGCACATAAACACGGCGTGATGCACACACTCCGACCGCAGGCTGGAGGGGGCGCGGTGCGGTTCCGGTAAAAGGGAATACACGTCTGCTCAGGCGCATGTAAACTCAACGCCAGTATCGAACGTTTCAAACTGGTGTTGAGGCTCCCGCGGGAACGACAGCAGCAGCAGCAGCAGCAGCAGCAGCAGCAGCAGCAGCAGCAGCAGCAGCAGCAGCAGCAGGAGAAGGCTGAGGTGTCCCTGGATCTGTCTCCAAACCGAGCACACAGATAAACAGACTGATGGAGACGATGTGGAGGAGGAGGAAACCCGAGCCGGGAGCAGAGAGACCACGACGAGAGAGACTAAAAGCATATGGACACGAGTGATCACAACAGCGGTCATGAATAAGGTATGGGAGGATGAGCCATAAACACACCATACAATTAGGTCGATAGACATGTCGCCGCCGAGATTGGATTCGAAGAAACTAGTCCTTTCCAAGAGTTGTGTCTCTCGATGACGGGAAAACAGGACAGTACCGGTCGGGTGGAGAAGCAGAAAGAGACGCAAAGTTGGAGCGCAAAAAAAGCACTGCCAGGAATATATTTAAGAACACTAGAAGAGAATTATTATAGGTTGTTAAAAATAAGGTTCAAAATATGGAAATAAGTTTATAATGGTCTCATTATGAGCAGAACATTTCCACATCAAAACATGTTTACGTATTCATTTGGTTGGGGCAGCGTGATTGAATGAACGACAGAGCTGTAAATACACCAGACTGTAACTGTCAGAGCAGCTCGAGAAAAGAACAGGGAGAACATGCAAACTCCACACACAAAGTCACAGCCTGGACCAACATACATTAACCGGGCATAATATATATAGAGATTACTCTAAGGATTTGTGAGTGTCCCGCGACTGAGAAAGGAGCATGGAGAGAAAGGGTGGAGGGACCTGCTGGTGCCAGATGTTCCAGATATCATCAAAACCAGTTTTGGAGCAGTTTAATCTGGTGTGAAAACTCATCTCGGTTCAGACGTGCGCAGGATCGAGGCTGGTTTTCTGAGCCTGATGGTAAATACCTTGGAGAGACGGTTTTTTCTACCTGCATTTACCAAATATCTGTATTATTAATTTTTAATAATTTTGTATGGACCATTAATTAACTTTGGAGCGGATCCGTCCCTTAATGTGGGCCTCCGAGGTTTCGCACTTTTCTCCCCCTGGGGTTCTCAAGTTGTTACTTTCCGATGTAAATTGCAAATTCGAGATAATGAAAGAACTATATCTAGATATATTCTAAGGACAGTAGTGATGATCCACGACGCTCAACATTCAATGACATTTATGAACATTAGTCGTCCGCTCCTTATGAACCAATGGTCCCTGTTCCAATCGAGATTTGAACCCAGGACCTTCTTGCTGAGAAACGGGAATGCAACACAATCCGTACAACACACATTGTGATGTTCTTCTTTCTGGTCATTTTATTATTTATCACACATCAAGGATATGAATTGTCAATCGCCAATATTAAGATTATAGGCTTTCCTAAAAAGTCTACTTGAAGTGTGCATTTTTGCCAGTTTTTATAGATCAGTTTCACATGAGTGGTTTTTTTCCCTTATTCAATGTGAGAATTTTCTTCAGTTGTCAAATTCTAGTTTGTGGCGATCTACCTTCGTACCTTTTGCTTAGAGCCGTTCCAAAGCAGGGACAGGGCTTTGTTGCCTCCATGAAACTGTGAAATTGATCCAAGCCATTTAATTGGTCAATTTTAAAGCAGAAGAAAATGGATACATTCATAAATAAATAAGACCAAATGGTTTACCCGCTAAACATACAATTCAGATCTTATTCATATAGAGATTAGCTTAGCAACACAACACAAGCTAGTTTCAAAGGCTGCATGGGGTTGAATACAGGACAACTGCTTAAGTAGAAAAACCAATCAATGCTATCAGTGAGAGCACGATACTCTCGTTACAAATTCATGAGTATTTGAACGAAACCGTAGTAAACGTAATGTAATATTATAGTAAATGAAGTGCAGGTTCTGTTTGTTATCATGATCCTTACGGGAGGCCACACACACACGCACAGCTGTTATCGGGTTGGCCAGCGCCCCGTCCCCCTAGACATCTTGTCATCGTCATATGTGACAGAGGCAGGCCATATGAAACCAGGCTAAAACGCTGAGGGACTGGGCCATGTTAAACCATACCCAGTCCATCACGGTGGTCCGGTGTCCAGACCCCGAGAGCGCAAACAGAGAGAGATCAATGGACCTCATCTGTTCCCTTGCATCTGCTAGTACAGACACATTTTACATACCACACAACGGCCGTATGAGAAAAGCACATCTCAATTCACTTCAATTCAATTTTGTACAGGCCTAAATGACACTTGTAGTTTCTCGGAGGACTTTATAAAGCTGTCGATTCACCAACACATGAGAGAATAAAACAGTTTAAACACAACAAATGCAAAATCAAATAAAAAAGATAGAGCCGTTGGTCCATAAGAAGCAGAGACCAATGTCCATAAATGTGGTTGAATGTGGAGTGTCCTGGATCATCACCACTGTCCTTAGACCCTCTTGTATCTGCAAAGAACAACTCTAAAAACCTTGGTGAGGCCCACATTGAGAGAAGGATCCGCTCCCACAGATGGGCTGTAGGTTCAGGACTCAGGCTGTAGAGTAAGGACCGAGGCCGAAAGTGATAGTATTTCATTTTTGCTGGAAACAATGTTGGCAGGGCTATAGTTTGGCTGCACTCAAGCTAGGGCTCTAGTGCACCACGGCTAAATTCAGGAGACTTGTGAGATCTGTAGGTCCTCATTTGGACTGAGCCACTCAAAGCAGCAGGGGCCTGGAACTCCTTACCGCTGTCTGTGAGGGGGGATAGTCCAGTTTAAACTCAACATCAAGACGAAAGAAAAAAATAAAATAAACTCAGGAGCTATAATCGCACTTGGTTCAAGAGTACTTTAGCAGCGGAGAATATGAGCAGAATAAACATCAGTAATAATAATAACAGGTAAAGTGACTCGTGACTAAGTGACTAGTGAATTTTAATCAGTGACACTTACACAGTCTGACAGCAGCAGGGACGTGACTCAATGATAACCAAGTGCAGCCATAAAGCAGATTAAATTGTGTCTCTTTGTGGTGAAGAAGGTAACGCCCATTTAGTCATTCTCTGCACAATGTAAACCTGCCGTCACTTAGGCCTGAGACTACACATGGAATGACCCAGCAGCTATGTTTAGTCTGTATAATAAAAGTATTGTGCAATGCGCTTGTTAAGTAAATACAAATATAATAAAAGAGAATAATAAAATATGAGAGAATGTGCAAAATCTCGTCTTTTTGGGTATTTATTGTGTTTTCTATCTTAAACGACGGTCCGCAATGACGAATCAAAGCCAATGTCAGTCTTATAAAGAAGTACACAATGTCCCGGTGAACGTGGATATCATTAACTAAATGTGTATTCAGATGAAACATACAGATGTGGTGGCCGTTTAGAGTGTACGAGTGTGTTTGCGCTGTACCAAAGGCCCCACGGGAGGAGGAGCTTCACCAGCTGTGTTCTGACATACAGAACACCAAGGGCCTGGGGACTACACACACACACACACGCACACACACACAAACACACACACACACACACACACACACACAAACACACAAACACGAGCGCCAATCCAGCACACAAACAAACAAGAGCACATCTGGACTCAAATTTACATGCAGGGCTTTTGTGAGGACAGAATGTATGTGGGAAGTCATAGAAATGGGGCAGACACTTGACCTGGTTTGAGTGAAGGAGATGGAACCGCAGCTGGAGACAGAGACAGAGGCAGAGGCAGAGGCAGAGGCAGAGGCAGAGGCAGAGGCTGAGGCAGAGACAGAGACAGAGACAGAGACAGAGACAGAGACAGAGGCAGAGGCAGAGGCAGAGACAGAGGCAGAGACAGAGGCAGAGGCAGACAGAGAGACAGAGGCAGAGGCAGACAGAGAGACAGAGAGACAGAGGCAGAGGCAGACAGAGAGACAGAGGCAGAGGCAGAGGCAGAGGCAGAGGCAGAGGCAGAGGCTGAGGCTGAGGCTGAGGCAAAGACAGAGACAGAGACAGAGACAGAGGCAGAGACAGAGGCAGAGGCAGAGGCAGAGGCAGAGGCTGAGGCAAAGACAGAGACAGAGACAGAGGCAGAGACAGAGACAGAGGCAGAGACAGAGGCAGAGGCAAAGACAGAGAGACAGATTTTTTTTTCACATAATTATTGTCACTTTATTGTACATATATATCCTGCATGTAACATGTTTGCACATTTCCTCCTTTTGCACAATCTGAGTATCCATGCCAAATGTGACATGTAAATTCCTATGTGAGATAAATAAAGCAAATCTTATCTTATCTTTGTGACAGTCAAAAACAAAGTTATGTCTCTACTAATAAAGTAAAAAACTGGATTCTGGAGGTTCTGATCTTCACCAGGTGTGACATGCTTTGGTTGGCAGAGCTTGAGTTGGCTGGATGACACTGTGAATCTGTGTGAATGATCAAAGACTACATTGGTTTCGCGAAGGCAGAGGGCCGCATAACATGACACTGCTCCAAGCTGACCATTGACCATTGTTGAAGCAGCAAGACAAAACTCAGCAAAAAGTCAGGTTTCCGCATACACTCAAGGTTTGCTTTTTGCATGAGATCGATAAAACGTATTCAGACACAAAGGAGAAGCGTAACCGAAGAACGAGCAGCTCCATATGGTGGGAATATAGAGCTGGATCAATGAACGTGGCACTTTTACAGATGATGGATAAGTGTTGTAGATTACATCAAGTGGTTTGTTGATGGTCTACACTGGTCTAAGGCGAGAGAAGTTTTTAAAATGCACGTTTGTCCCGATAGAAAGTCTTGTAAAAGTAACAGCTCAATGTATTTTTGTATCGTCCTAAATCACAACAACAGTAGTTCTCTGAGGACGTTACAAAGTTGTCGATTCGCCAACACAGATCAGAGAATCAAACAGTTAAAACACAAGAAACGCAGCGATAAAAACAGAGACATTGGTCCATAAGGAGCAGAGACCAATGTCCATAAATGTGGTTGAACGTGGAGGGTCCTGGATCATGAAGTGCTCCGAACCAAGCGGCTACTCCACCCTGTGACCCGTCCTGCTCCACCCAGAGGCTACTCCACCTCTGCTGCTGTGACCTGTCCTGCTCCACCCAGAGGCTACTCCACCTCTGCTGCTGTGACCTGTCCTGCTCCACCCAGAGGCTACTCCACCTCTGCTGCTGTGACCTGTCCTGCTCCACCCAGAGGCTACTCCACCTCTGCTGCTGTGACCTGTCC